ACTGTGTCAGGAGGTCAATCAAAATGTGATATGTGATGCACAATAATGTGAGTATTGGTGCTACTGATAGAACAAGAGATGAGTATCCTCACTCTTAGACACCGGGTGTCTTCGTTAGTTTTCAGCAATCCCCTTGTATACTCTTCACCTCCATTCTGCCTTTTCGCCAAATGGAATCTTGTTTCAGCAGGTTATCGAAACTGCTTCTCCTGGGCGTTATATTTTGTTATTATACATATGATATAAGTAACAATTTGGCTTAAACGACACAATACTGAATTCAAAGTTTTTTGGAGGGACACCCAAGAGATTATCAGTTTAGACAGGTATATGTTAGTCATTGGTAAGTGAAAGCTCAATCTGTATTTGTCTCAGGTCAGTGTAACTGTTTAAAGTATGTCAAGGCTTTGTCTTTTCTACCATCTGTTGTATAAGTTGGTCAATAATAATGCCATGTTGATATAAACTATTTGCCAATGGTAAATATACGAGATCATCATGCAGCACTGATGTCAGGAATACGTTCATCAACGAACTGAGCGGTTTAATGTATGGATATACTTCCCGTCACAGAGTCCTAGAAGTACCAGAGACCTCATTACAACTCATGGTGCCTTATTTTTAGGAGAATATGAGACTTCGTCACCTTAATCATCACCATCTAGTCTCAGGAGTATCAGAGACCCCGTCATCCAAACAGAGCTCATGGTCTCTTTAATCACCATCACTGCTGCTAATCACAGGCGTTATCAGAGACCCCGTCACTTCATCACAGCTCATGGTGCCTTAATCATCAGTGCTGCATCATCTGGTCTCAGAAGTATCAGCGACCCCGTCACCTCATCAGAGCTCATGGTCTCTTTAATCATCACCATTGCTGCTCATCACAGGCGTATCAGAGACCCTGTCACCTCATCAGAGCTCATGGTCTCTTTAATCATCACCATTGCTGCTAATCACAGGCGTATCAGAGACCCCGTCACCGTATCACAGCTCATGGTGCCTTAATCATCACTACTGCATCATCTGGTCTCAGGAGTATCAGAGACCCCGTCACCTCATCAGATTCCATTATACCCTAGCCCCGTCTATAGTTTCCATTTGTAGACTGAATCAGAAACAAATCACGTGAGAATCATCATCAGAACCAGCGTTTGTGTGCATGTCTCACCTCATCCTCGATTTTTGAGAGATAGCCGCAACATTTTTTGTATATGCTTATCGCCATTACACTTCAATTCCAAGCCTAAGCGTTGATCATCGTCAGGCATTAGGCACCCATCCTCGATAATCTCCAGGGTATGCGTTACGATCACTCTCCACTGTACCCTGGATGCATCCACGACTTGGCCCGATAATTATATTACCTCCCTTTGCTGGCTCCGCATTCTCACAGTAGCCAATCAGCTCGAGCCGTGGATGCATCCAGGGTATAGTGGAGCGTGATCGTAACGTATACCTTGGAGATTATCGAGGATGTAGGCACCAGGCACTTGGTCATCTTTATCGCCATTTTTGTGTAAAGTTAATTCCTCGTACATGTATATATTTGTACATATTAGACTGTCCTAGCTCTGCACCTAACTCCACAAATATATTACATCAGATTCTAAAACAGGATTTCTACTGATCATGTCTACAGGGACACCTCACACCTGGTGTCAAAGTGAACAATGATTCCTAGGAGGGAGTTGCAAAGTTCCTTAAATATAGCTGCAGATAGGACACTTAGCACCCTTAAGCAATGTATGTTTCTTTAATTTTTAGTGGTTAGGGTTTAACGCCACTTTGGACAGTATTTAAATTTTGTGGGAATTATATCTTAGAATCCAAGCCTGATAAAGGGACACAACTCTGTACAAATTGCGGAGCCTTACGAGGACGTTGTCACCAGTGCCCCATTTTGATGCAGATGTGTATAATAAACTTGTTTCTCTGAATTCCAAAGGTGGTGGTGCATTTTCCCACGCTAAGCAGATACGGTGATATACAACAGGAGATTATCCATAGTTGTGTGAAACAATCCCGCGTCCTTTAACTTCTGGGGCGGTGGGGTAGCCTAGTGGTTAAAGCGTTCGCTCGTCACGCCGAAGAGCCGGGTTCGATTCCCCACATGGGTACAATGTGTGGTGTCAATTTCTGGTGTCCCCCGCCGTGATATTGCTGAAATATTGCTAAAAGCGGTGTAAAACAATACTCACTCACCTTTTAACTCCTTCTGAGTAGTATTTAACAGAAATGCAATTCAAAACAGTTTAAATCCCAAAGGCACTTAAATGCTATGACTGACAGCACATATTCTACAACTATGCCAAGTATCACCCACCCTAATAATACTGAAAGGGCATGAACCCAACTCACTCACCAAATGAACCATGCCTGCTACACGGCTGTTGTTTATACGGTGGAGGCACACGTCGTCTTCTACAAGCAGAGAGTTTTGTAAATTTATCATATTGTACATATGTTGGTGTACATATATTACTTTGATCACATATGCAATTCTTGTCAGGTCATAGGCAACATCCCTTGTATTGGGCGATGTACATGGTTCATACTCACGTGTGATTCTAAGAATCGTGTTCATATTTATTTCATTGTTCCAAATGTTGATATTTCAGGAACGTCATTTCATTGTCCTCGTATAGTACCTTTGTAATCCAAGTAAGCACTGTAACGTCGCTTAGCATTGGGACTTGTTTCATACAATAGTGTGTGCGCACAAAAACATAGATCACAAAACACAAAACTGTGTCTAGTTGTATGTTGCCTGGTAGGAAAAGATTGATAGCTAGGCGAGCACTGTAAGAATGAAAATGATAAGCGAAAAAAACCAGATGAAAATAGTTTCTTTCTTTTCTCACTGATTTTTGGTTAGTTTGAAATTCAAAATTCAAAACAGATACAATGATTAATTTTTAAGTGATTACTGAATAAATTTTAAGAGCGAAGTGATCAGATCAAATTTTCTAATTTGACAGTCTCATCAGAAGTACAGAAGCCCCATTTTAATAAAAAGTTTTGTTTATTTAGGGGGGCAATTTTTTAAAAAATGTTTTGTTGTTAAAAAAATTCATCTTCGACGAATACGCTCTCGCTCGGGAAATACCAACATCTAGGCTCTCGTGTCGTAAACATAGTATGACATGGGCACTCATATAATATCCTCTATTTACATTCTGTTTCTCATGTTATGTTCTGATGTATGTAAATGATTACAAATCACTGACAATGTCAAGTGTTGAGGTGGATGAAACACTTACAGACGGAACCCAGTCTGATTTCCAACCGGTTGAATGTATGCGCACAATGCAGGTGTGTTGTGTTATTGTGACTCATGCATAAATAGCGCTCTTCATGTTATCAATTTAAAGGAAATAAATACTCGCCAGACAAACACAAGCCATCAGTCTTATTTCTCTGTTCTAATCACAGGAGCGGGCGGTATTTGTGACAGAAGTGATGACATTGAGGTGGGGCAGTGTACTTTTAAAAAAAAAAATGAAAAAATTACTTATTCATTGTATTTAACAATACTATATTTATCTGAGTTCAGCTCTCATTGTTAAATAAACTGGTGCGTGTGAAAGAAAGTATACACCCACGTTTGATGATGGCTAAAATTGATGCGAAAATGAAACTGGTTATTCGATGGTGATGTGCTTGATATGGGTATCACTGTTTACAGCCTGGTCATGTTTTGGTAACCTTTGTAGTGTTTGGGTCAAATCCAATATTCTATCGAATTCCATTTTTGCCCGGCGGCTTATTATGGGTATAGAGTGAGAAAGTTTAGTTTTACACCGCAGCCAGCAATATTCCAGCTATATGGCGGCAGTCTGTAAATAATCGAGTCTGGACCAGACAATCCAGTGATCAACAGAACGAGCATCGATCTACGCAACTGGGATACGATGACATGTGTCAACTAAGTCAGCGAGTCTGACCACCCGATCCCGTTAGTCGCCTCTTCCGACAAACATGGGTTACTGAAAATCAGTTCTAACCCAGGTCTTCACGGGTTATGGGGATAGACAGATTCATAGATATCCTATGATATATATAGATATTATATGACAAGATGCTGATGTGAAAAAGGTTTCAGGAGGTGTAATACAGCTCTTCTACCGCGACCAGCATGCGTGTGCGTGTGCGTGTGCGTGTGCGTGCGCATATGCTCCTACCAGTCTGCCGGATTTATTGTTCCAGCAACATAGACTCTATTAGGTTGGATGAAAAGAGCATAACCCACTTGCCGCATTATACAAACTCTTTGTTATCCCTTTAACGCTGGGTGTAAAGGCAAGGTAACAACAAGTACGGTAACAAGAAGTAATATCTGTAAACGTGTTGTGGTTAACCATGGCCAGGGATCGAACAAAGCACCTTCCAGGCAGACACACTATCCACTACACCAATGAAAGGGTCAATTATACAGGACAAAGCAAAGTGAACGTTATTATTTAGAAGATAAGAATCATTTGACAAGTCTGTTTTCTCTCAGTCTGCGTTCACTTTGTGTTCGAAAAGTAACACATATATCTATTGATGTTCTGGGATCCAGCTGTCAATGTAAACTGATGGTGCTGTGTGTTCTGTGTTTTTTGCTGACGCTGTAGGATGTAATCAATATATGCCAAACATAGAAAACCAGCTAATGCCTGGCAAACTATGAATGAGTGAGTTTTGTTTTACTCCGCTTTTACAAATATTCCTGCAATATCACGGTCTATCGAACGCTTTAACCACTAGGCTACCCCACCACCCCTGGTAAACTATGAACACACCTTCAATATGAATAGCCACACACATTACAGCACAATGCTAATAAACTCTGCATTACAATGGTAAATATCTCGCACATTTTCAATAGAACCTGGCACAGTATATCACCAGACTGCTAGGAATGGTCACACTGTGTGATTTACCATGTATACTGCAGGGGATTGCCCCATTCATAATTCTATCTCCAAACTGGATGCATGAAAAACACAGCAGTAATCACAATCTGATTTATTCATTGAATTACAATTTCTCAAAAATATGCATGGAGATACTTCACTCATCATATATGCAGGACAACTGTCAATATTTTCTGTTTCAACATTTTTCTCTCTTTAAGACACCATTATTCAAGGCTTAGGACCCGAGTCTCCAAACCAGGTCACATATTGTCACCCTGTCCTATATGAATTAGCTGATGTGACTAGGACAGGGGACTCAAGGCTCGGGACCCCTGAATATCAAAACCAGGTCACACATTGTTAGCCCCGTCCTATTTAAATCAACTATTGTGACAAAGATACGATTACTCAGTTTTTAGGACTAGAGAATCTCAAAGTCTGTTCTTGATCTGCATTGAAAGTCTAAATCAGTTCATCTGCAGAAGGACTGGACATGCATAAAATTGAGTCGATTATGTGCAATCCAAGAAATAAACACTCCAGCATGTTTATACAAAAAACAAAACAAATACACACATATATAATATATATCACAGTTCCTTCTTAACAAGAAGTAAATATCAAATGGACGGTATCATTTCATTTGTATACAGCATTTCATAAAAATTCTTCATCAATTTCATTAATCATACTGTATGAAGTTCATCTTTCTGAATCCTTCATTGATTCAGAATCAATTCAGGTAAAAAACTCCATCAGATATATCTTATTAATAATTCCACAATTTTTTAGCTGAAATCCATACTGTCTAACATAACAGTAAACATATGTTGTGTCTCTCTATTGATGGCACCAACATCTGGACTCTAGGCTTGGGATTTTTCTGTGTCGGACTGGTGGATCCGGGATGCATTAATTGTCATCAGCCTCATTTTGGATTCGTCCAACTGTCGCTTTTCAACTAGACGCTTGAGGTTGGCTAATTTTTCGCTTGCTGGGAAGAACTTGCGAACAAAGAAGATGTGTATCTGGTGTGTCCAGAAGTTGAAGAGTCTAGTTGCCTCATCCAGTTCCACCTCCACCTCCACCTCGTGGTCCTCAGCAGCACCATCAGCATGATCATCACCTACACCCACAACACACAGGGAAATATGGACATAATGAACATGTGTTGGGTACCTCATGGTCAATACATGGTCCACATTTTTCCACTTTATCCTGCTGAATTAATTAAGAGTGTGGGTGATTTTAAACAGTTGGAGTGTCATTAGATAAGGGACAACTGAAAAAAAATATTTGGCACATTAATACCAGATAGAAAAATGAACATTATTATATAAAAAAATACTACAGATATTATGGCCAATGTAAACAAAAATAATGTACCATTTCTTGATTTTACCTGAATTACTTGATTGACAGTGATTGTATATTTGTATTTACAGATATCAGCAAGATGATATTTGTATTTACAGATACCCTAAACAAAGTCAAAATACAGATTGAAAATGATAAACATAACAGTGTTATTTGAATAAAAGATGTGATGACACTGAAAATACAATTTGTTTATGATGAGAGTTTTCGAAAAATATGTTTCAGAAATGTTTTTAATTTGCCATCTTGCTGATATCTGTAAATACAAATATACAAATTTAAACTCAGCTAAATATGAAATGTCTGAGAAAAGAATATTGAAATTGGTTTGCGCCAATTTAACAATTTATACAGGTTCCTATTATGAACCGCATTCCACTGTCAATCTGTGTGCAGAAAATACCTGTGGTACATATCTGTAGTACCTGTGTTGACAATGATCCCTTCAACGATAATTACCATTCTCATTCTGCGTGATATGATATGAATATATCACATTTCTGTATTGTATCTAATTTTAATTTACTATTTCTTTCTACAATACTTTTTCAATGAATATTCTGAAAGTAGTGACCCTATGCATGCTATGAATAGATGAATGGATGTCTGAAAATTTGAGAAAATACTACACAGGGTAAAGAATGCATTTTTCTCTGTTTACATTTCAAACAAGGGCTGTCTTACGAGCACAGTGTTCGTTTTCACATCCAATATGTTTGGTTTGATTTCATCTAGACACTTGGTATGAGTGAGTGCAATATTCCAGCGATATCAAAGCAGCGGACACCAGAAATGGGCTTCACACATTGTACCCATCATGTGGGGAATCAAACCCGGGTCTTCGGCATGACAAGCGAATGCTGTATCCACTAGGCTACCCCACCGCCCTCCTCTGTATCAGTAAGGAAGGTAACATAGTGGCAGGACCAGCATGTAATTAGAACAAAAACAACCACAGGGTACAGATCTCAAAACTGACCTTCAGGATGCTCTGCTGATGGTTCTGTGTGCGCTGCCATGGAGACAGAACTCTGGACGAGAGCTGCATTCTCTTCTGTGCCGTTGGTATGGTTACTGATGAAGGATGCACTCTTCTGTTGGTCAGCTAGAGGGGTCACATCTGTCAGTGGACAGCGACTGGCTAGATATTTATCTTCATATATCAACATGGGCATGCATTTGGAAAAAAAATAGACGGAAGATTTTTCGTTCTTGAAACCAAATGACTGAGTGACTTAATGAACATTGATTTATGTCCGAGTCAGCAATATTCAAGGTGATCTGTCCGAGGTGAACAAGACAATGACAGCAAAGTGAGTGAGTGAATATTGTTACGCACCAGTCAGCAATATTCAAGGCAGTCTGAATTCATAAACCAGTGGTCGACTGCATGAGCAACATTCTGTCAGAGCATGATGGCATATAGTCACCAAGTAACACATTGAAAAGTACTTGGTTAACCATGTTGTTATTATCATCAGAGCGGTGAGGTAGCCTAGTGATGAAAGAGTTCGCTCATCATGATAAAAGGCCTGGGTTCGATTCATCAATTTTCCGACATTTATGATATTTTCCAAAAGAAACAGATCTAGGGAGAATAACTGTTTTGTCTGTTGTGCTAATGAATGAATTGAACAAATGTCTCTCTGTGGTATTTTTACATATTCGGAACAAAGCATGTATGCCACAGATGACAAGCAAGGTCGTGAGTGAGTTTAGTTTTACACGCTTTTAGCAATATTCCAGCAATATCACGGCAGGGGACACCAAAATGGGCTTCACACATTGTACCCATGTGGGGAACTGAACCCGGGTCTTCGGCGTGATGAGCAAACACTTTAACCACTTGGCTACCCCACAACCCTGACCAGCAAGATGGGTGTGTGGTAATATAGATTAGTCATCCACAAGTCCCTCCTGTCACATGGATTAATATACCCACTATGTTAGTCAATACTTCACACAGAGGGTATGTCAACACATATTGCACCCGGGACCACTGGACGTATAATACACGTATATCTAATTAACACAAACTATATCAAATACTTTCGGAAGCTGTACAATGGACTGTTGTTGCTAATTGGGGCAACAGTGACTGACGTAAGTTACACTAGCCTACCTCCTTTGGCGCTGTCATGGTGACTGTGACTGGTGCCCTGATGACCTCGGTCTGAGGTCAATCCCAGGTTGACACTGCTGGACTGCTGGGCCTAGGACAAAACACAGAGGGTTAGTGAGTGAAGTTAATCAAGGTTAAGTGTGGTTGTCATAAGAGCATGGCGCAAGAAACCTTACATAGTTTAAAACAAAAGAAATATCTGGTAATCATTTGTGTTTAAAAAAGTAAAATAAACCCACAAAAAACAAAGCAATTTTTGGAAAATAGCTGTCACAAAACTGTAGATGACATGTAGTAAAGTCCTTGTATGAAAGGCATAACCATGCTGCTGTATTGAGTTATACAGAAACCTAATTACATCTATGGCTTTTGAAGATCCCTCTCCCCCTGTCTTGGCTGTCCCTGCCCCTGAGGACTGTGCCCGAGACGGGGAGGCAGCTGGGGTGTTGGATCCTCCATGAGGGGTTTGGTGGGGGGTAGCTTGAGCAACGGTGTCCCCAGAATCATCCATGCCAGCCTGCAGAAGAAGACAGTAAGAACGGGAACAATGAGAACAGATGTCCAGTGTAATGCTGGCGGGCAAGTCTACAGGTCTATAGGCAAGAGTACCTTGTGTGTAAAGAGGGTGAGACTTGGACTTCACAATCTAACTGGTGAGGCTGGAGGGTGAGCTTACCACCTGACTGGTGAGTCTGGAGGGTGAGATTAATACCAAACTGGTGAGTCTGGAGGGTGAGATTAATACCTAACTGGAGAGTCTAGAGGGTGACATTTATACCTAACTGGAGAGTCTAGTGGTTGCGATTAATACCTAACTGTGAGTCTGGAGGGTGAAATTTATACCTAACTGGTGAGACTGGAGGGTGAGATTAATACCTAACTGGTGAGTCTAGAGGGTGAGATTTATACCTAACTGGAGAGTCTAGAAGGTGCGATTAATACCTAACTGGTGAGTCTAGAGGGTGAGTTTTATACCTAACTGGAGAGTCTAGAGGGTGCAATTAATACCTAACTGGTGAGTCTGGAGGGTGAGATTAATACCTAACTGGTGAGTCTAGAGGGTGAGAGTCTTTATACCTTGGAGATAGGGTGCAATTAATACCTAACTGGTGAGTCTGGAGGGTGAGATTAATACCTAACTGGTGAGTCTGGAGGGTGAGATTAATACCTAACTGGTGAGTCTGGAGGGTGAGATTTATACCTAACTGGTGAGTCTGGAGGGTGAGATTAATACCTAACTGGTGAGTCTGGAGGGTGAGATTTATACCTAACTGGTGAGTCTAGAGGGTGCGATTAATACCTAACTGGTGAGTCTGGAGGGTGAGATTTATACCTAACTGGTGAGTCTGGAGGGTGAGATTATTACTTAACTACCAAGTCTGAAGGGGGAGATTACTACTTAACTACCGGAGTCCAGAGGGTGAGTACATAACATGACTGGTGAGTTTAAAGGGTGAGTACGCTACCTGACTGGTGAGTCTGGATGGTGAGGCAGGGACGGAGTACATGCTCTGCTCCTGTGTCATGACAGTGCTGGGGCGTGGGGTTGAGGGATCTTTGACCACTTGTTCTGTCACATACACCTGGGCACATCCGACCAGAGCCTCGAAAAACTCCAGGAAGGTCATCTGGGAAACAACAGTTCAGATTACAGTTGACAGACATAATAGGAACAAAGGACAATCTCAGGCAATAAAGGAACAATCTTGAAACCAAAGCGAGAAACCAAAATTAGTGAGTGAGTTTAGTTTTACGCAGTTTGCAGCAATATTCCAGCAATGTCATGGCAGGGGACACCAGAAACAGGCTTCACACATTGTAGGTGTGTGGGGAATCAAACCGTGGTTTTCGCTAAGTCAAGTGGATGCTTTAACCACTAGGCTATCCCACCACAAACATATGCTTTGACAACAAAGCATATTTCATAAATGATAAAGAATAACTACTTTAAGTCATAATGGAACCCTTTCAGTTTTAAGATACTGACATAAAATACTAAGAGTAATATACATTCTTACAGACGAAAACTTAACATCATGAAACTACCGGGTACCCACCTCCAGCTCCAGGTTGTAGCAGCCTTCTCCATCAGCAACTTTAGGGTCATCCAAGGCTAGGACCTCCAGGATAGCCTGGGGTGTCAGGTCGGAGTTGATGAGCTTCAAGTCCTGGAGAAAGTGCAGTAATGCATAAAGCCACAATAAATCTAACACTCTATATTATAGAACAGTCATGTGTAATACCTTTCTGATATTTGTCAATGGGCCTCTGAGAGTCACATGTGGCATAACAGTGCTTCATTGGTGACAAAAATATGGCGTAAGTGGCGACTAACGGGATTGGGTGGTCAGGCTCGCTGACTTGGTTTACACGTCATCATATCCCAGTTGGATGCTCATGCTGTTGATCACTGGATAGCCTGGTCGACCCTCGATTATTTACAGACTGCCGCCATATAGCTAGAACATTGCTGAATGCGGCATTAACCAAACAAATTCAGCATAGATTGATTTAATGATTTACATTAAATATTTGTACCATATCTGTAAAATCTACCAATGCATCAATTGGGGTACAAAAAATATCCACAGAACCAGAAGGTCAACAGACTGATCATGTGTCACCATACCAGGATGACATGCAGTCCAGGTAACTTATTGTAAGTCTAAATTTTGGCCAGTAAAAACATGAGGATTTTATTTTTTGAGCGGGGAAAATTAAATATATTTTTTTTTCTTATTCTTGATAAAATATGACTGGTGGATCTGTAAAACAAGAAATAAAACTGGTCTGGCCTAAGGGCTATGATTCTCCAGAAATATTTACCTGTATCATGAAAAGGAACTGTCTCATCTTCAGAGATGGCTCTTTGGGCTTGGCCTAAATGAAAGAAAAAACAAAATCCTTTTCCACACTATCATACACTCATGAATCACAAATTGGTAAAAAGACAAATTTAATCAAAGCAACAAAACTGCCAGTTAACATTTTGGAAATATTAACTCATGAGATTTTTATTCTAACTTGTAATCATCCTTGTCTCATGAATGTTTTATTTCTTAGAATAATAATGTAAAGAGAACTTATCATATTAAAATCTGAGGTTTAACAACAGAACAAAGACCATTTGACTCACCGCCCTGTGTTTGCAGACTGATTGGTAAACCTCGTAAGCCTGGTCCATGTGTACGAGGGCATTCACAGATCTGCGGGTCTCATAGTAAATGTTACCTGGAACATGACAGCTTGTGAGTGAGTGAGTTTCTTTATTTTACGCTGCTTTTAGCAATATTCCAGCAATATGATGGCGGGAGACACCAGAAATGGGCTTCACTCATTGTACCCATGTGGGGAATCGAACCAGGGTCTTCGGCGAGAGGTTTGAACGCTTTAACAACTAGACTACCCCACCGCCCTCTGAGAGCTTGTGTCAGACTACCCCACCGCCCTCTGAGAGCTTGTGTCAGACTTATGTTGATAAGAATATATTACCCATAACATATCATCAGAAAAGTGAACATTTATCAATATCTCACAACGTAACATAACATTAGTATGGCCTGGAAGTACTGTATACTCTTAAAAAAAGAAGGGGAACTTCATTTTTAATTTATGATTGAAAACATTGGGAGACATATCGGCAGCAAACATTATTGATATGATAATAATGAATGTTTTGAGAGTGCATAACCACTTGCACTTCCTTATGACCATAGTTGTTTGTACAGTAATCGCTCTTGAAAGATGATTGGTCTATGATGTGAAATTTGCATGTGTACGATTTTCATTTTCAACAAACACAAAACGGCTAGAAATAAACACTAACAACTGTGTGATGCAAGATGATTGTCAAAATTAATGGTCCACAGTGATTTATCGACCTTCTTGGAAACCATTAAAATCAAGAATGACACCCCATGTACATGTATGGGGCTACTGTGTTGTTCACGTGCATCCCATGCGTTGTGTTTAGGGGGTGGTGTTAAAGAGAAAAGTGGTGCATTCATAAGATGTCTGTCTTTGAAAAGTTTGTTAACACTCATATTTCCTTTCCAATTTGAAAGTTCAGGTTCCCCTACTTTTTTTTAAGAGTATATATGAAGATCATCAGGTCCTGGGCCCCGTTTCACAAAGCTATCGTAGCGCTACGACTGTTGTAAGTCTATGCTACAGCATAGGAGGTACGATTCCTACGAGAAAAGTTACGAGATCTTAGGCTTACGAGAGAGCTTTGTGAACGGGGCCCTGGTCACACATCTGGTGAAGCATATGGTACTGAAGATCAAATCTGTCACAGTACATCCAGAGCGTGACCCTTGAAGATCTGGGTTAAAATGCATTGGTCTTTAGCAACACATGTTTGTCCTTAAAGGTGATTAACTAACGGGTGGTCAGGCTCACTGACTTGGCTGACACATGTCATCATATCCTAATTGTGTAGATGGATGCTCATGATATTGATCACTAGATTGTCTGGTCAAGATTATTTACAGGCTGCCACCATGTAGCTGGACTGACTGACTGACTGAGTTTGGTTTTACGCCGCTTTTAGCAATATTCCAGCAACATCACGGCGGTGGACACCAGAAATGGGCTTCACACATTGTACCCATGTGGGGATTCGAACCCGGGTCTTCGGCGTGACGAGCCAACGCTTTAACCACTAGGCTACCCCACCGCCCCATTATCCATGTAGCTGGAATATTGCTGAGTGTGGCGTTAAAAAGCAAACAAACATCCAAAGTGTGTGTGGACAAAGGTACCATTCCATGCTGCCAGGATAAGATAGTGGAAGGTATTAATCCTGAAATTTTGGTTATTACCGATTGCTATGATGAGTTTCACCTACCGGTAAACATCTACAAACTCACAATATTTACAGTGTTCCTCCCACATTAAAATGACATGCGGTGCCATAAGTGAAATATAGTTCAAAAACACACTCACAAATATTTCACGTAAAGTTAGATAAAATTAGAATCACGGCTGAATTCTGAATGGAAACAGATGTGACTGAAGCTGAACATTAGGATGACTAGAGTTGCTTCCCTTTAATAACATTCCCTGAACTGCACACATGCATGTAATATCAGAAAACAGTATGGTTTAACAGGATTTCAAAAAACAATTACATGCAGAAGGTCATGAATCAACAGAGGAATAAGAGGAAAAGGTGGCTGTCAAGAAACTAAAAAAGACAATTCAACAGGCTCACTGTTAGGAAACTAAAGACAAGCCACTGTATAGGTCATTGTCAGGAATCTATGAACACATGACTTAGGAAGGTCAGGAAACAATCAACTACATAGTCAGGAAACTAGGCATAAATACTATCAAGAGAGTAAGGAAAAGTACTTGAGGAGGGTCACCATCAGGAATGTAGGGTCAATTATTTGAGAAGGGTCACATCAGAAATATAAGATTCATTTGAGAAGGGTCACCATCAGGAATGTAGCGTCAATCACTTGACCAGGGTCACCATCAGGAATGTAGGGTCAATTATTTGAGGAGGGTCACATCAGAAATATAAGGACAATCATTTGAGGAGGGTCACCATCAGGAATATAAGGTCAATCATTTGAAGAGGGTCACCATCAGGAATATAAGGTCAATCATTTGAGGAGGGTCACCATCAGGAATATAAGGCCAATCATTTGAGGAGGGTCACCATCATGAAAGTAAGGACAATCACTTGACTAGGATCACCATCAGGAAAGTAAGGACAATCACTTGACTAAGATCACCATCAGGAAACTAAGGACAATCACTTGACTAAGATCACCATCAGGAAAGTAAGGACAATCACTTGACTAGGATCACCATCAGGAAAGTAAGGACAATCACTTGACTAGGATCACCATTCGGAAAGTAAGGACAATCACTTGACTAAGATCACCATCAGGAAACTAAGGACAATCACTTGACTAAGATCACCATCAGGAAAGTAAGGACAATCACTTGACTAGGATCACCATCAGGAAAGTAAGGACAATCACTTGACTAAGATCACCATCAGGAAAGTAAAGAGACAATCAATAGTGGCAGATCAGGAAATTTGGAACAATGAGTTGATAAGGGTGAGGAAAGTAAAGACAAGCTATTGAGGGAGGTCAATAACGAAGTGACCAGCAGTTATAGGAGACATAAAACAATGACTTAAACTGACTAAACTATATGTATGCACCAATACTAGTATTCTTAAAGTCTCATGTCTAACGAACTCAAATGCTTAGTCCCAATACAATTAAATAAACAGAATGAAATGGCTAGATCTGTCTAACATAATACAACCCACCTTTCACATTGCAGGAATTACGCAGAACCTTTTCCTGAATGAGTTTAGACATACACCAGGCAAGGACCGGAGAAGAACCACTGCAACAAATACACATCACATGCAGTCCACAGGATTTGACCAGTCCTATTCAATCCAAGCCAGTTTATGTTGCTTTTGTACAGAATGTTTTGGATCATGTCACAAGGTATGAAGAAATATAGAAGATAGTTTGTTTGAGTGCAGGCCTCACTTCAGTTAACTCTTCAAGCAGGGAAAGAAATGTTTCAAAATTTCCCACTAGATCACAGGACCAGTGAGTGGACAATAATTAGTGGTCCTGTCTGTACTTCACTGGTCCAAAATAACATTCATAGATTTACTTAACTATAAACACAAAATTCACTGGCCACCAGGACCACTGCAAACTTATCATTTAGTGGTCCTGATGAATTTTTACTAGCCAGGGACCACAGAACCAGCGTAAATTTTGCATACTGTTCAAGCAACATGTTAAAACAAGGCTGTAGATTGAGGAACTTTACACAAACTGAGCCGATCACTCAAACTTGTTCACAAGGCCTATTTACTGATTACAAAACCTTGACTTAATTTGTCTAACAACTTGGACCATTTGCTGAACAGATATTGTTTCAATCATCAAATCTACTAACTCATGCTCTTCATGGAACAGATGGAACGCCAGGATGATGAGGTAGTTTAGAAACTCTCTCTGCAGGATGCGTTCGTAGGGATTGTGGAGGGAATATGTGGGTTTGCTGTAGCCTGAAAGAAAACAGACCACATTCAGTAACAATCATGACCAAAACACACAATAAAGTGTAACTCTGTAAATACATCACAAGTGATATCGTGACATTTAATAGGCTAACAATAGAAGCTTCTCTGCATTCAAATGTCCATCAACCTAAAATGAAATAGGCCACACCTACTAGCAGACTATTGTTTCCTGATTGGCTGATAATACAGAGGGCAGAGCTTGTGCTTGGTTATTGCGATGAACCTTGTCAATGATTTAGTATTGTTGTCTCATCTTTTTTTGATTAAATTATTATTGACATAATTAAAGACTTGTACAAGTTTCCTGCCTACCCAGGCCTATCACTCTGTCCATGTCCATGAGTGTGGCATCTTCATGGTGCAGCTGACAGTCTTTGAGGAAGCGCCAGAACTGCATCTTGTTCATGATGAATGTGTTGTCCGGGCTCTCCTCGTAACCAAGGCAACTGTAGTAGTTGTACACCTTCCTCAGACTGGTCACATGTCGCATTGTCACATACATCACCTGTAGGTGTAATAAAGTAAAACAGATGAGTGCATTACAGACATCAATCTGGAAACATGGTGTATGTTTGTATGATGTAAAATAATGCAGGAAAGGCCACTACATGTGTGTATGTGTGCTGGTCATCATGGGTGATCAGTAACCAACAGAGGGGCTGACACAGACTCACAACATTCAATGATAAATCTATGTCCATGATAAGCCTGTTTTGGCACCAAGTTGTTAGCCATCTAACCCACTGCACCTTCCACAAATTGACACTAATCAGAGGGGTACACAAAGTTTGTGGTCTCGACTACAGTTGTCTGACTTCTATTTTTGTGGAAACTGCAGCGGATGAGTGGGTTAGATGGCTGACTTTGTGTGCTGGCGATTAGGTGCCTGACTCTGAGGGTGTGGGTTTGAATCCCGGATGGGACTCAACCCAACAAAAGTACTAGAATCTGTACTTTACTGAGAAAGTGTAATCCCAAATATAACGTGTTACACTACAAACATGTGTCCCTTCTAACTCGTGTTCCACAAATGCCTGTGCTCTTCATGGCCCTTATAAATCTGCATCACTGATAAGCTTGTGTTCCCAATAAGCTTGTGTCCATGATAACTTGTGTTCCCAATAAGCCTGTGTCAATGAGAAACCAGAGTCCTTGACAAGCCTGTATTCCTAACATTATATGTTCCCACTAATCCCCTGCCCCTGATGAGCCAACTTCTGGCTGGGTGAGCTACCTGATTGAGCTCCTCCTCCCGGTCTATGTCAGTGAACTCTGCCAGGAGATGGTTGATCTCCAGCTGGAAGCTGGGGCTGATGGTGTTGCGACTCTCGTTGCTGTGCATGCTCACGTTGTCTATAACACAGGTGCTGCTCATTACTCTATTACACAAAACAAGACCAAGACTTTACCTGAACTAATGAAGTGCCTGAAAATACTTGCAAAACCAGAATCACCATTTCTCTACAAAGCTGCACTCAAATATAAACCCTTTCAGTTTGGGGAATCAAAAACATCACAAACAGAGGTTACCATGGCTCCCATTAGGGACCAGTCATTATTACAGGGTGTCAAGGATCAGAAGTTTCTGAAGCACTAATATACTGAAAATAATGTCTCTTACCACTTGTCTTTATTTGGATGACCCTTCCTATTTTCCTGTATATGTTTATCATTACCTCAAATATGGGTAGTTGTCATTACCCTCCCAGAGAGACCTGAGACACTGTGAAGTTTTTGTGACCCTCCTATGATTTCCTCTGATTGCCCTTTGACAAATGACTGGTCCCTAATAGTAGAATAAGGAATGTCAAACTTTTGATCAAATGAGACTTCACGGTCCACTTGCACAAAGTGATCTTACCATTATGATGGTCTCAAGTCTGTGTTAAAGTATGGGAGTTACAATCATCATAACACTAACATCCCTTTGTGCAAGTGGGCCTTGGCCTGGAAACACATGTATGCCTGATGCCTTACAATGTTAAATCAGAAAGTTCTGCAACCTACCCAGTTAACAAGTTCATGAAAGTTCTGCACTTGGCGTAGCATCTTCACTTTCATGGCACCATAGCTCAAGCATATTTCACAGGGAAGTGAGATGCACAGCAGGTTTGTGGAACTTTCTGTTCAGGAATACACTGTACTTTGCTGGATACATATTCACCTGATGGTAATGGTGTTCTGGTCCGAATGGCAGTGATGTCTGGAGTAGTGACGCCATCTACATTGAAGTCTGGGTACTCAACAATGTGGTCCTTCTCAAACATGCCTTCATAGATCCGGCCATTCTTGAATGTAAACTTGCCCTGCACCAACAAAATACTGAATCTGTTTGGGGAACAGTATGTTCATGCCCATGATTGCAGTGGCAGCCTGTTCTTTGTAGTGTTAAAATATACTACATTAAAGTCTGATTTTGGCCTTGAAATAAGATTTCCGTAAGTTAGATCATGGGCACATCTTATGACTGGTTCCAATGGTTCCACAGGTCTAAGATTTTTCAGAACCCAATATTGGAACAAGATGGTTATCATGACAATTGATACTTTTCAAAACAGTTTTTCTGACACAATTTTATCGCTAATTTCTAGCTAAGGCAGATAATTTAAAAAACATATTATAGGACGTTTGACAGAAACAGATTTATTTTTACTGCAACACTGCTGCATGACCCACAAAATCCTTGATTTTTCTGAGGTCAATCCAGTCCATTATTTTTCCCAAGATATTCTGGACCACAGTTTATTTTCAGTCAAATGCCACCAGGCACACTATCACCCTATTTTCAAGAATATTATATGATTAGACATTTCCCTTAATTATCCTACTCTTGTCAAAGAGGAGACAACAACGACTAAGGTCGGCTATGATAATAATAATTCATTTATATAGCACCTAGCATCCATCTGACTAGTTGCTCACTGGACACTGTAATCAGAATCTGATTATTATTACCATGGATAACCCAAGCTGCCTGTGAGGTGCTAGATGGTTAATAGTCACATGACTTATCCCACCAGGTACCCATTTTATGCTGGGTGAAATGAGCAATTTTGAACAAACACACTTGCCTATAACATGTACTTTATTGTGGGACAGGACTGAAGTCCTAGAATCTCTCACGGTCACCGATCCAAGGACTTTCCCCGCTCAACGTTGTTTAATGTCAACTGATTTGTAACCTGAGCTCTATGCACAGGACCACACACCACCACAACAGAGAGTGAGTTTGGTTTTACGCTGCTTTAAACAATATTTGGACAAAATCTTGTGATGGGACACAAGAAATGGGCTTCCCACATTGTACACACTGGGGGAATTCAACCCAGCACTTGTTCATGATGAGCACTTAATCCATGACTCCACCTTCCGTATAATATTACAACCAGCCTGACAGTGTACTAGTAATGACATCATGCGATCTGAGACATGTTGTTTTCATGACATGCTACCATGACATAGTTGCAGTATTACTGACTGGGTCACAAAACAACATCCAACCTTTCCTTTCAGCACTCACCTTGCCGTGTTTCATGTTGTTCTTCCAGTAGCCTTCGTACCTCGCTCCGTTAGCGTAATAGAAGGTACCAAAACCATGCCTCAGTCCATTGACAAACTCTCCATCATACATGTTGCGCAGCGGGTACTGCGATCCCTGCACACGTTGCAGCAGCCAGTTGTGTTGACCCATACCATGCTATGAGAAGAAAGATACTATGAAAATACCGTGAACATGGTGATCAGCTGATAATGGTGACGTGAGGTGAAATGAGGTCTATCTTCTCATTTTTGATTGCTGGATATATTGTGACATGACTGCATGTGTGAGTGTCTGCTTGTACCTGTTTTACAATACTAGCCCACTGAGATACCACACCATAGCTAAACATGGATATCCTATTCAAGATGCACATACATGTGTGCCTGTAGCTGTGCACTAGCCTGGACTAATGATCTTTTTACTAGTGCTAGCACACTGTGATACCATGCCACAGTTTAAGATGGATACCTCACTCAGACACGGTACCATATATTACCGTAGATAAACTGAATTTTGAGGACCAAAACAAATCAGTCTATAGAAGGGGGTCAGCTTTTCTGCTGTCAAACTTTTTTTCAGGGGGGTAAGAAAACGACATTGTATCTCATCGCATGAACGAACAAGAGAAGACGATTTTTCAGTAAATACAATAAGTAGTACAATCTTTTAACACATCTTTGGTCTGACACATCCAGGGATCAACCTTCCACTTCATGGGAAGACACTCCATCCACTGGACCACAGGGTTGGTCTTCAGGTCATATGAACAATGTTTAACAGAACTTATGACATGAACCAGGACATGAGATGATATTATTAATAAAAATATTTCATAATCATGTAGGCAGAAATCATAATGTGACTGTCTTTTTAAATTTATCCTGGTTGGCAGAAAAGGTCATGTGAATGCGAACCCTCCAGTCCTAACACTAACAAGTTAAACTGCTTGTATGATCCCCAGGGAGCTGAGAAAACAATAGTTAATTGATGAAGAACACACTATTCCATTCACAAGACAGTAGCCTATAACAATTCAAGGCCTAGATTTACGGAGATTTCTTAGCGCTAAGATTGTCATAACAGCCATACATTAACATTAACTAGCGCTAAGAGAGCTTCGAAAATCTAGGCCAGTCTGGAACAGACAATCCAGTGACTGATAGTGTGAGCCACAATCCACATCAACAGGATTTGACGACACACTGTCAACAAAATTACAGGTGAATGCAGTGGGGATGTACACTGATCTAATAACCAGGTAACCATGACAACGACTGAGGATGTCGCTACTGCATATATATCTATAAATATGAAATTTTTAGAGTAAAATTAATATTTTTATACTTATCCTGACTCATGTTTATTTGCTTGTCTTCTTCTTCTGGCGAACCTAGTGGAACACTTGTATCTCCCAATTGAAGTTCCCTTCAATAAAAAATCACTCATTAGTACTGACCACGAGTTACCTCCCTTCCACAAGCGCGTGAACGAGGGCGCCACCTGAACCCATGTGCCTCACTCTCTCCTCATATACTGAGCCCAACACCTGAATTTCCAGGGAAATCCAAAGTGTTAAGTGGGGAGGACGGAGGGTTTATTCATGAGTCAGGATAAGTATAAAAATATTAATTTTACTCTAAAAATTTCATATTTTCCTTATCCTGACTCATGTTTATTTGTTTGTAGAATCCTACGGAATAGGAGGTGGGATTATATATACTTTGGATTTTACTAATTAGTGATTTGAACAGAGATAATTGTAATAACCCTAAGGGAACTTCATGAAGGCACTGAACTGAATTTCTGCTGTTAACTTATCAGTTGCCATATAAGGGTTATTACAATTTACTGAATATAATAAAGTATATAGAACATTAATTAAGCTAAAGCTATTAATGTGATAGTATAAACTGTTGATAGTTTATAATGAATACTTTTTATAGAACCAAAGTAGTAAGCTTACAATATGCATATATGTAAGTTATAACAGAATTGTGCTTAAGGTATAATGATACTTTAAGCTGTATAATAGTAACCAACTACTGAGAGTTTGTTAACTAATACATGTTATGAAATGAACATATGACTGAGCTTTAAGGATTGAAACTTAAGCTGAACATATATATAATAGTAGAACTCCTAAGAGTTGTAGGCATATATATAGTATGATTATAGAACTGTGCTTAAGATATAATTAACTTAAGCAACCTAAATAGCCAAAACAACTCCTCAGAGTTTGTTAGCTATTACATTTTATAATGTAACCATAATGCTTAAAATATGATGAAACTTAAGCTAAGTATATGATAGTAAAACTCTTTAGAGTTTGTTAGCTAATATACTTATATGATATAAACACGGTACTGAGCTTTAAGATATGAATAAACTTAAGCTACATATATAATAGCAAAACTCCTCAGAGTTTGTTAGCTAATACATGTTATAATGTAACCATAATGCTTAAGATATGATGAAACTGAAGCTAAGTATATGATAGCAAAAACTCTTTAGAGTTTGTTAGCTAATATACTTATATGATATAACCATAGTAATGAGGTTAAGATATGAATAAACTTAAGCTACATATATAATAGCAAAAACTCCGTGAGAGTTTGTTAGCTAATATATTTATAATGTAACCATAGTACTGAGCTTAAGATATGATTAACTTAAGCTAAATATATAATAACAAACTCCGTGAGAGTTGTTAGCTTACATATTGTATGATATAATAACCATAGTACTGAGCTTAAGATAATAAATTGAACTTAAGCAAAATATATATAGCATGTAGCTATTTAGTACTGTTATAAGATAAGTAAAATTCTGTAAGATGGACTTATCTTCTCCGAGGAACTGTCAACTGTTGTGCGAGGACCATGGGACCTAATAGGTGGATACCTGAGACGCCCTCGGTGGTGATATCTCTCAGATAGTGGTTGGCAAACACCATATCGGATCTCCAGAAATAACCCTCCATTATTCCAAAAGCATTTGTGTAGAGCAATTGGAGATATTAGCTTCTAATATTATGAGGATTAGAAGCTCATGGAGGGTAGAGTCCTACAGTCTTGTAGGCACGTAGTATGACAGTTCTGATCCAAAAGGAGATATAGTAGTACGCGGAGACTTCCGCTCATGTGAGCTTGATAAAGGAAATAAATCTCTTGCATTTTTCCCTCCTGTTTGGCCTCGGTGGAGATATATTTTCAGTGCTATTACTGGCCATCGGATAGATTCATCGTATCATGGGGTTCAAGTATATCATCAAAGTTGTTCATAAACCTCACTTGTGAGGTGTTGGAGCACTATATTCAGATCCCAAGTTGGAGCTGAACTTCCGCTTTAATCCTCCAATCGAAAGCTCGAGCAGGCGAAAGTAACTGGGTTAGGTTAACTTGACGCTTCATTCTCAGTTATGATAGAGCTATTGCTGCAAGATAGGTGGACAAGCTGCTCTTTATAAAATCTTAGTCTGACGTAGATAACATAAGTAGTCCGCCACTTGAGGATGAGTAGCATATCTAGCTGTAAATCCTTCCTTTGCAGCATAATTGACAAAACTGTGCCATTTGTCATCGTGATAAGTTGCCAGTTGAGTTACGCGAGGGCAAGTTAGACTGCTTTGTCGCCTGGCTGAATAACTTGTTATTCAGACACGCCTTTGATACAATCCATACGCGGAGTTGGAATATATCTGGCTTTCCATGCTTTGTTATTCGAAAGCACTCTGTAAGGTGTAGTATTGGTTGTCCGATTTCTTGAATAAGAGTTGGAAACCACTTCCTCGCTGGTCAGTAGGTCGTGACCAAAATCAGATGGAGGCTCTGCTTTAGACTGATTTAGAGTAAACTTGTGAGATTAACGCTGGTGGCGGAAAAGCCGCACGCTGCTGAGACCTTCCCACGATATGCTTAGTGCGCCTGTTGCCAATGCTAGTGGGTCTGGAACTGGCGATACTTAATGTTGTCAGTTGTTTGTTGAATCGAATGGTAAATAGGTCTATTAGTGTAGTTCCTATTTCCTTGATAATTTGAGTGAATATCTCTGTATGGAGCATTCATTCTGTCGGGCGATGGTATGTGTGGTCGAGAGAGAGCGCCTGCTATCACATTCTTTGCTCCTGGAATGTGATATGCTCTGACATGTATGTTGAGATTGTTGATTAAATCGAACAATTGAAAACAGAGTCGATATGTTCGGGACCTGGTTGAGCTTTAGTTTGTTCACATAAAACGCCACTGTCGAATTGACTGTGTGAATCATCCACTGGGTATACTGTAGTAAGTTGCTCCAGTGTATTAAGGCGTTTATTACTGCTTGCATCTCTAGCAGATTTATGTGTAATTGCTCTCTTGATTGCTCATAGCCCTGATGCCGCCCTGTTGGCAAGATGGGCTCCCCTAACCTTATAGTGACACATCTACGAGAGAAGTGTTATCGATTCCAGCTCTATTAACGAGACGCCTATTCAAACATTCGATCTCTTGGTGCATCATAGTAGATGAGGTTTGACCTGAACCGATGATTGAACGGTAGAGATTCGCCTAGATGCTAATTGCTGATGACTTGTAACGGATGTAATTGTAGTCTGCCTCTGTCTGTCATGTCTTGAGCTGAGCTGAAGTGCGAACCCCAACAGACTCTGTCACTGTCGAGTGGTAGTGGAGATAGTAAGGCTTGTGGAAATGACTGTTGATCTTGATCCATGGTCCTCCGTACAATTATACGATGATTCTGCGCCAAGCATAAATCAAAACCTAGAATAGCAGATCTTTGCGAAGGTTCTAGGTCCAACTTAAGTAGGTTTACTAACCATCTAGTTGTGTTAGTAGCTTGATGATGAATTCAACTGTAGTCTGAGACGCTATGGATTTGGATCCATTTGTATCCCGTCGCCGAGGTAAATTCGCTGGCGAAGTGCTTGACGATGTAGATGCATAACCAGGGTGACTGCCATCGCTGAACTTTATGTAAAAAAAAATCGCCTGACTGCCGTGGTCCTCGCCTTTACTTGACAGGGAGGTCTCTAACCTCAAGAAGGCAGCCCAATCATGAAGGTTTAGATTAGCTGGACTGTAAGGAGGCTTGCTCGCTCACTGATATATTGTTGTCACTTGCAACCTATGTGTTGAACTGTGAACTATGATCGACCTTCGCGCGAGGGCGCTGTCCATCTCGGTCCAATCAGAACAAGGCATTTTGATTCTGTAGAGTACCCGCTGTGACGCCACCGTGTATCAGGAAAGGAACCTTGTATAATATAGTGCCGCTGCTGATATTAGAACAATCGCCGGTCTTCACCGTAACTTCCCGGTTACCCGAAAGTGACCACGTGTTTCGAGGGTTGATGGTAAACGCTGAAACCTCCGCCAAATACCTCGCCTGTAATATTAATGCTGGATAAGTTATTTTCCAGGTTGTCGAAAGTAACTTCAGTCTTGAAGATAATTCGACTTCCTTATATAAGGTTCAATAACCTTGCAAGTTGTCAGCTTGTAGACTGTTAAAGCTGAACTTGTTGTACATATTACTTCTGAGGAAATCGCTGACGATTATGAGTTTTACTCGCTGTAACAAGACTGCTGTTCAATTTCGCTTTGAATTGTCTGCAGATCTGGCGAATGGTCACGCATGTAGATAATCGTGATCGTAGTAGGTAGTCGGCTTGAAGATCCCTAATTAGGCTCTTCATCCGCTGATAAATTAATACAGCGACGTTGTGTGTTGTAAATAGCCTGTGCAATTGTCTTCGCAGAGGCTTGTAGACGCATATGGCTTACAGTTGATAAACAACTCATGTGATGTCTTGAACGGACTGACGAAAGTGGCTATATATGACGAAAGTGGCTAGTATATGGAGACCTTTGAGGAGACTTCCTCGGCTAACTGGACTTCGCTAAGATCTCAAGTAACGCTTCTAGATCTTCTGGGTGAAGTAGACTTGAGCCACTTAGCCTTCGCGACCTTCGCGAAAGTATCGAGTCAGAGATTAATATATGAGCTTTGCTTCGCGAATCCACCTCTGTGTTCTACAGGGTGTGGGCTCGGCGCTAAGCCTTCTCCGCTGATGTCCCTCTCAATTGGTGAGGCTGTAGCTCCTTCGCTGAGGCGCCTGGGACTTCCTTAGCCGGCGTCTAGAGTCCGATCTTAAATGATACCATCGCCTTCCTCTGACGATGGTCGATGTCGGAGACCTCGATCTGTAAGAAGATCTATGTGAGGACTGAGGAGAACGGACTGACGATTGGCTAGTGTATGTAGACCTTGGAGAAGACATCCTTCTGAAACTGTGGGCTTCGAGAACGGTGATGGCTTCACCGACGCCTGGGCTTCTCGAACGCTGAGGGCTGCGCTAACGCCTTCTAGGCGCTAGAACCACTTAGCCTTAGCCTTCGCCTTGGCGCCAATGTCTGGAGTCAGTGTCCGATCCGACATATGAGTGCTTGCTTTGCTATAACTCTTCGTGACATGACAAGGTGCGCTAGGCGAAGCACTCCTTCTCCGCACAAGCCTCTTGCAAAGGGTCAGACTCTAGCTCCTTCTCGGAGGCGCCTGGGATACCTTATGCAAAGAGCTCACCCGGCAGGGTTGCTTCTCGCGGAGGAGGCTGGGCCTATGGGCTCAGGGCTCTCTACGCTGAAGTCAAGGCGGCTCTGGGGCCCTGTATGACTTAGTATGGGGTGGGCTCTGGGGCCCGTGGCTCTGAGGCCTCTGTAAGCCGTGAACGGTCTTCCATCAGCCTCATGATTTGGTTGACCAGGTCGCCTGGGATGGTCTCTGCGCTGGCGCTGAGGGTGTCCTCTGTGATAGTGACGGACCCTCAGTTATAATCTCCGGCGCCAGCGTAGGCATCTCTGATTGCATGTTGATTCGCGCTGAAGTGACGGTAGCCGCACTGGTCACTTCTTATGACATACATCTGGAATGATAATCGAAATGTCATCATCATATAAACATAATTCTGAATATCAGAAGCAAAGTTTTTAGTAGTCTTCGTGGATTTCCCTTTGACGAGGCTGTAGACCTGGGGCTCGGAGCATACGCTGAGACGACGTGGAAGTTCTTCTAGTTTTATACTGTGATGAAGGAACGCCCTGGGAATCAGGTCGCTTCTAGATATAGCGGACTGCGCCCCACGCTTTATCCCCGAAGGTAACTCAGGATATATCTGACTCGATCTATTAGCCATGACTGAAGATTGTTTCTAGAGATTTATCTGCCTTCCGCCCTCAAAACGGAACATAAATATTTATCAAAGGCAGAAATTGGTAAATTAATATATAATTTACAACAAGAAACAATAGAACATGGAGTAATGCAACTAGGGCATTTTAAATGTGGATCGGTAGCAGAGTAACGTAATTTACAAACAGTGCAGATTTTATTAACGCAAACTGTTGAGCAACACGGCTAACCGTGAATCAAGCAGCAGAAACACTAATAATTATCAATGCATGTTGAATAATGATACTAGTTACACCTCTATAGATGAATATAAGAGGTAACAAACTAAATATAAATAAAGGATATAGTGTGCAGGGAGACACAGGTGCTCTCACGCCTTGCTCACTGGGCTAAGAAGGAGAGAGTGAGGCACATGGGTTCAGGTGGCTCTCGCTCCTCGCCGCGCTTGTGGAAGGGAGGTAACTCGTGGTCAGTACTAATGAGTGATTTTTATTGAAGGAACTTCAATTGGGAGATACAAGTGTTCCACTAGGTTCGCCAGAAGAAGAAGACAAGCAAATAAACATGAGTCAGGATAGCAACCCATGAAAAATAAATCGATGCTCATGATGCTGATCACTGGATTGTCTGGTCCAGACTCGATTATGAAAGACCGCAGAGCTGGAATATTGCTGAGTGTGGCGTTAAACAACATTCAATCAATTCCAGGCGTACTTTCAAAAGTATCTGTGTAGCATATCTTAAACGACACATTGGCAACAACCAAATTATATCAAATCATTAAGAAAGGATCACTCTCATTGTCCGTCACACACCTGTATACCGTTCTCCCACTGCCCGGTGTAGATCTGGTTCCTGTCCAGCCACTTCATCGTACCTTCACCATGGCGGACATTGTTGAACCACATGCCCTGGTAGACATTCCCCGACGGGTACTGACGTGTCCCCAAACCATGTCGAATGTTGTACACCCAGTCACCCTCAAAGTATGAACGGCCATTGGGGTCATAATCCATTCTGCCCTGGAGGTGAGAAAAGTCACATTAGAAGGGGAGACAACCGAGGAAAACTACAATAAGGGACCATTCATAATTTATGGCTAGGTGGAGTGATGATTTTTATGGAGAAACATGTACAATGAGAATGCCCCCCCCTAAATTTATGTACAAAGTGACACACACACATCCTGCATGTCATGTACAAAATCAATTACTACCCCCCACCCCACTTACCATAAAATTTTAAGCATAATGCTTGAATAATTCTATGTACAAAATTGAAGACCCCCTTCCTGAACATAATGGGTGACAACCCCACCCCTCCCTCTATTAATCATCATCACTCCCTGTAGCCATAAATTATGAATGCTCCCTAATTAACATCATGCAAATCATGCACTATTTCAAGTTTAACTATAGTCCGTTTGACTCCATTTGAGACCGATGAATTGCTCACTAACACAAAATCTAATAATTACAACAAAACCAAATTTTGCACAGTCACATGAAATAGACTGACCAACTCTGATGGCCAGGTAATCAACAAGCGCATGCAGTGAAATTTCAATTTCACACGTACAACTCGCACACCTGGCTGTTCTACCAGCAAGTGGTCCTCCCTCGTAAGAAATAGCGGTAAGTGACAACAAAATAAAGATCGTTTGTTAAACAACTTTTTTATTCAGGTGTCCAAAATTATGAGACAAATCATCAGAGTTGGTCAGTCAATTTCATGTAATTATTAGATTTTGTGTTAGTGAGCAATTCATCAGTCTCAAATGAAGTCAAACGCACTATAAATACCTCTAACGTTTATGAATGATGGAGCGTGTATTGTAGAGAATATTCCATTCTCAAATTAAAGGTTGTCAATCAATCAAAATACAAATCTTCAATTCCTTATATTCAGGTAACATATTTCATTCTGCTTCACTTCGGATAGAATTTGCATTTCATATTAATCAGTCCTGAGCAAGAGTCTCAAATGTGGCACTTAAAGTGTGATTTTATGACTGCTTTGGTGACTTTCCAATTTTTTTTTACATGATTCTGAGGTTACGTCATACGGATGACTCCACACAATATAATGAAATATATAGATACATTAACAGCAGGCTATTGAAGATTTTACACCAAGTATCAGCAATGACCTACCTTGCCATGACGCTTCCCATCACACCAGTCTCCGCTGTAGGACATAGAATTGTCAGGGCATCGGAACGCTCCAACGCCATGTCGCTTTCCATTCAACACTTCACCTTCATATGTGCTAAAAGATGATGAATAATTAATTTCATTAAGTTACCCCAAAACACTTTTTCTTGCCAATCTATTTAAAATAAACAACAACAGATGGAACTATTGGAAGCTGTGGAATAATCCTTTTGATCACCATACTTTTTAATGATCCCCTTTCTGGACTTGCTGAGCTGTCAGTACTGGAAAAACCATAAAATGTAGAACTGACTTTTTCCTCTTGAGGATTGAAGAAATTTATATAGAGGCCCAGAGATTTCACTGTTTGTTTTATCTTACCTTTCATCTGGCCACTTGTATACTCCCTTTCCTGTCACCTGATTTTTGCAAAATTCCCCCTGAAAATAATGTGTAATCCTTGCTGAATTAACATGATGACGGGTTGTTGTTATTTAACAAAAATATACGAGGACAAAAAATGGATGAGAAATACTGAAACATTTGTCAACACCTGCTAGCAGTCTTTTCTTTATCATATTTATGTTAATCAACATTTCCACATATATTTTTTAAAAAGAGATATACTTGCTGTTTTGGGGGGGTTATGCATGCAGTGATCACCAAGGAGGAGGAAGATTATTTCTCTTTTAACATGTTTCACAGTTTGGGTGATTATTTTCTTGTATGAGTATTAGACTCACCTCATAGACAACACCATCTGCCCAGACATACATCCCTTTGCCATGCATCAAACCTTCAGAAAACTGGCCCTGAAATTACAAGAAGGAAAGAGTGAGTGAGTGTGGTTTTACACCACTTTTAGCAATATTCCAGCAATATCACAGAGGGGGACACCGGAAATGCAATAAGGCAAGAGAATTAACACTGGCTGAGATACAGAGAAATTAACACTATAATAAATATACATGAAAAATCAAGGATATATCATGCTTCTTTGTGACATGCTTAGTGGCAGATGTTCAGACCCAAGTCTGCAACAAATGACAGTTACCATTAGAAAATTGGAACATACAGTCTGTAGTAATACCGGGTAACTACTATTATGCATGGTATGAGTTTGTAGTGATTGGGGATACTTGTATTTTACTGTTAACCGATAAAGAGGATGAATTATGAATGCTTAGTTTTACATTATTGTATAAAATCCATTGTTGAAATACCAATTAATATAAAACAATGAAAGCTAAAAAAAATCATCACAATTTTGAACCCAATAATGACTCTGTCCCAACCTTCCTGCCAAGGTTTGTTCCGAAACCTTTATAAATCCTTGATATTATGTTCACCAAGTTTGAACAGTAAATAACTATGTGATACAACCAGTCTAACATTGTCCAACAAAGAAAATATAAATATATAAATGGATATAGAGTGTGACTTACAATATAGCAGTGTCCGCCTGCAAATGAAGCCTTGCCCTCCCCTTCATAGAGTCCTCTTGATTTCTCACCCTCAAAACTGAAACAGAAGATTTGGCATGTAAAACACAAACAGAAACTTAAATATGGTTGCACAAGATGTTTTACTTTTAATATTTCCACACCTAAGAATATGAACAGATATATATCCTAACACAGTCATGATACAAATAATCGCTGATGGAGCTGTTGGTTGGCAGAGGTAGTTTTCAGACTATGTGGATATATTTGAGTAAACTCAAACGTACAAATGTACATGGAAGTTCAAGGCGTGCCAAAAATTACCCCCGACAGCCAAATTATAAAATGATTTGAATCTGATCAGTTAGCATTGGTTCGCCAACACTAGCTTTTATTTTCATGCTCACTCCTTCCCAGTTTACTTAAAGTTTCACCATGTACCAACAATTTCCAGATTTTACTTCAGTGTGCTATTTAAGTTCGTGAAGAAAACATGAAATCAAGTATCGAACTTGTAGAAATTGAAAACACAAGACTACATATATTTTAGGCTAGGCGTTATGAATAAGATGTATGTATTTTTCTATGTTTCATGTTATGTTTTATGTTATGTTTTTATGTTATGTTATATGTGCCGTATATTTTGTACAGTGACCATTTGAAAATGAAACCAAATCCAATTACAGTGTCGTGCAAACAGTATTCGGACACTTGACGTAATTTCCATAGACTTACATGTTAATTTAGTGTAGCATAAATAATTTTCATTAATTTAATTGCCTTAAGATCTAAGTGAAATTTTGCACATTTGTGAGGAATCATCTTACCTACAATCACATAATTTCTGTTTAATTTTCCATTGCTTATTTATCGAATGGCAACAATTCAAACAACATATGTACAGTGATGTGAACTTCTTTAACATGGCGGCCTATGGGATAGTGCATTGTGGAACCATACGTAAGTTGATAAATGGGATGTCATTAGTTAAATAGTGGGTAAGAGTTCCTCCCGTTCCCCCATCCCAAATAATATTTATAAATATATTAAAATTATTAACAAAACTTAACACAACAATTACTCGAGAACTTACAAAATGACTGAAAGTCCAAAATTTATGTTAGGGTTAGGTTTAGGGTTTGGGGAACGGAAGGAACTCTTTCCAAATGACGTCAAGTGTCCGGATACGTTTTGCACGGGTCTGTAGATCCATATTGAGGCGAACACTATTGCCCTACTGCCAACTTGATTATGCATGTTTACACATACTATGATATAGGTAGATCTGTAAAGATAGTCGATACAATTTTTAAAACTTCACATGCTGATGCACGATATAAACAGAAAGAAAGCCATCTATGTCCACATCTATTTTACTGTACAAATGAACATTTCTCACCATTCGATGATGAGCTCTGATAAAGTTGGTTCATCGTAATCTGGCTCAGGCGTCGGCTCCTTTGGTGGAGGTGGCTCCTCGACAGTTTCTGTTTCAACAGTTTCTGGTGTGTCATTACATTCTCCTTCAGTGGGACTATCTTCTTTCTTTTCTTCCACTAAAGGTAATTCATCGTTTTTCTTATTTCCTTTTTTATCGGTTTCTTTGGTTTGCTTTGCACCTTTCACCGCTTTAGTTGCCATGTTGAATCCAATGAAGCTGTCAACAAATGCAGTACCGCACTGAATGGTTTAGAGTAGTAACGAAATATAAATAACCTAGAAATCTGATTATTATATTATATTCACGTGTATATATATTTATTTATTTATTTATGACATTATTTGAGTATCACCAACACAGCCGAACAAATATTAAATGTTTTTCGTGTTTTTGTTGAAAAGTTGAGTACGAACCCGCAGTAAAAATTCAAGATGGCGGTGGAAGCGTCTGCTAATCTACAGTTCATGTGCAATATTTTAAGTTTAACTGTCATTGTAGCATGTGTGATTCTTAAAGTACCTCAGATTATATCTGTTTTCAACTCCAAGAGTGTTAGAGGTATAAGCTTTAGCAGCGTCATGTTGGAAACATGTGGGTAAGACATACTGACACAGACCTAGTTTAGTGACGAGGTACAACTACAAGATCTGATTTGGAGCACTGACCAGTTTAAGATAGATAAAACCTGAGCCTTAACCTGGGAGTGGTAGCCTAACAAATGTGAATAACATCCGATTGACCTTATATTTCTATTCAGCAATGTTAATTTACAGAGTCTTGGTCAGTTTACCGGATACTATCGATGGCAGTGATACCCTTTTCTCATTGTGAATGTGACAAACTGACAATGTATACATGGTATAGCAGCTGTCAATCAGTGGTTGTGCATGTAATTTGGCATGTTATATACACCTCTTAAGCATCCTGCAATCTAGCTGTTGGTGTTATCTCTCTCATTACAAATTACTTCCTGATACACTGACAATTGGGATTACATTTGTCATATGCACCAGTCATATGTATACATAGACTTTTAAAACTTGATTTGTTTTTGCTAATTATTTTATATTATATTTTATATTATTTGCTGATTGTATCAAAGAGAAATAAGGTTCATGAGAATAATAAACAGCAAATGATAATGTCTTACAATGTTCCTGTTATTTTAGATGGAACGGATAGAAATTTAAGGTAATCCCACTATGATCAAAACAAACAGCTCATAGGTTTAGTGGCTTTATCAAAACAACACAAACCATACTATAAGATGACATCACAATCAAGAAGTATTACACCTGCGATGTCATATAGCAACAGAATCAATAGCAACCTGTCATCAGAGATTTGAGGGCTGCTGTCAAGTTGCGATGGCACGCAGACTTCTGATAACAAGTAGCCTTTTTAATTCTATTTCTAACCATTATCAATATGAAATGAAATAGTTCACTTGGTCTTCGATGGTAAAACTGGCCAACTTAACAGTGCATGTCTTGAGCATATGCACTGTTAGGCCTACCCCTGAACAAATGGGATTGTTTCACACTGCCATTTCAAAGGTAAAAAAATATGGTACAATCCCCAAGGCCATTTATTATATCAGATATTGTAATATTTCCTCTATTTTTCAGATATTCCATCATGCTGACTTACCACTTCGCCATGCAGTATCCACTGTCAACATACTTCGAGTACACATTCTTGGTGCTGCAAGGTATTCAGAAACAGTCTTGAAATAACATACAAGCTTTCTTACCTAAGTCTCTTATTAGAAGAGAGTAAAAAATAGCTATTGGGTTAAATCAGGTTTGCCAAAACAATGTTCAATATATAAAATAGAATCTAATATATATGTACACATTTAAATTACTCATTAAGTCTATAAAATACACCTAGTTGAATACTTCTGTAACTATATCAGAAGTTACAGTGTTACACAATATTAAGACAATTATGCAATGAGCAAGAAGACATACTGTAGGTATTTTTAAGTAAATATGACCCGGTAAATTCAATATATATGGAGTATTCTAAAAGTGAATCAGTCAGTGGACATAAGGTGTTATAATTCTCAGCTTGTTATATTCTGAAGCTTGTGATGGGAGTTGACCTTTGGTCATGTGGACAAGGCGTCTGACTTTGGATCGGAAGTTCCTTGGTTCGAATCCCTGAACGGGACTCAGACATTTTATGGCTGCTCATATGTATTTTTCTAATTGTAAATCACTTGCAGCTCATTTTAACAATTTCTGTTTCAGATTTAACATTAGTTACCCTGCTGCTACACTACAGTGGTAAATTGCAAGTTAAAATTCTTCCGTGGTTTGCAGTGTATCCTTGAGTTGTTGATGGATTTTTGTGGTTGTTGGGGACCGTTCATAATTTATGGCAAAGGGTGTGTGTGAAGGGGTGATGATGATTTTGATGGAGAAACATGTACAATGTGAATGACACCCCCCCCCCCTAAAATTTATGTACAAAGTAAGTGACCCCCCTGCATGTCATGTACAAAATCCTGAACCCCCTGTCCCTCCCGAATTTTCTTAGCATAATTATTTAATATGTATGTGTACAAAATTGCTCACCCTCCCAAGTACATATGTACAAAATTGATGACTGCCCCTACCTCCACAGAAAACAATTGTTGACCCCCTCCTTAAAATCTACATCACCCCCGCCCCTAGCCATAAATTATGAACAGTCCCTTAGTCTCTTGGTGTTGTCTTTATTGAATGGATTTCTGTACATGTTTGTTTGTTTGTTTGTTTTTAAATGATGGAGATACAGGTATGACCTGGTACTGCTACCTCCCTCTTATTACCCATGATAGAATTAAATAGTGATTAATTAATGGTATTTATGTTCCATTAGCCATCTTAACTTTAGTTCAGCTAATGGATTTGATGGTCAGATTCAGTGACTTATGACTGTATGTCACTGTATAACTCAGATCAAGTTTGTTCACCCAGCAGAAAATGGGTACCTGGTGGTATAAGTCATTTGACTATTATTAACCTTTTAACACCTCACAGGCAGCTTGGGTTATCCGGGGTAATAATGTCCATCATATTGTATGCGCTTAGAGCATGTCCCTGCAGCGTTGAGTTCAGCGCTATGGAAGTGGCCAGTTATTATTATTTTTATTGATGCTTTGATGTCAATCACAGGATTGTCTGGTCCCACATCTCATTTTATATCTGAACTGTTGCTGGCTGTGCAAACAAACAAATGAACTTTGACATCAAGATTTATCACCATTTCTAAACAAGCTAAACATCAGTCTTGTCCAGACTATATGTAAGAAAAGCTTGATCCAATAATTTTTGGCACAATATTTTAGGGCATCTTCTGATATTAGTCATGATGAAAAGTTATGATCACTCATTTTTAGTCTTTGAAATGATAATGTATATATGTTTGCTTGTGACTTCAATCATCACAGGTATTTAGAGCAACCCATATAAGAGAATGGTAATGATGAGGTGTAATGTAAATTTAAGCCTGTTAATGTCTCACAGCTGTGGTGCTGTAGGGTAGCGTAGTGGTTAAAGTGTTCGTTCGTCATGCTGAAGGCCTGGGTTCGATTCCCCACATGGGTACAATGTTTGGAGCCCATTTCTGGTGTCCCCCGCGGTGATATTGCTGGAATATTGCTAAAAGCGATGTAAAACCAAACTCACTCACTCACTCACTCACTCACTCACTCACTCCACTCACTCACTCACTCGCTCACTCACTCACTCACACCTCAACTCACTCACTCACTCACTCACTCACTCACAGCTGTATATACTACCAAGAAAAGATAACAAGGAATTCTTGTTCACTGTTTTCCTCTACTTCTGCTTTTCTTTTTCTTCTGTTTCTTCCCTGAGCTGATGATTATTTGTCTTAATTTTTTATGCTTGATGTGTCTGTATTTTCCTTATCTTTTTGCAGCTATTTTGTAGTGAGCAGTTCTTTTGCTTTCAGATTTGTGCCTGATGTTGTTTTGCAGTTGGCCATTGTGAGTTGCATTCATGGGAGATAACTCTTCCATTCATGTTTTTGCTGGCATACTCGGGGATAATTTAATGTATGGTTGCATTCAAAGAGCTGTGTTAGACTTCCTCATTCAAAGGGGGAAGTATGGCATAATTTAAATAACATAAATATAACAGTTTGTTGAGTGTAAAACCTATATACCTATATCAAGTAATTTTATGTTGAATGAATGTGCTGGTTTGTATTCTTTTAAGGGTTCTGGTCTACCACTGTCAGTCGGTAGCAAAGTGATGCAGATATACTCAATAGTGAGTAAACAGGACCCTGGACAAGTGAGTGCTGTCACATGGGGAATGGCTTTCTATACAACCATGGGTAAGTGGTGGTGTAGGGGCTTTTACAAGTTACGAGATCAATCATAATTTAATAGTAACATTTGGATTCTGGGTTTGATCAGGGCCATGTTGGACACAATGCTCTTAGCAAAATATAGTGAGCCCATGTTAAAGAATGGGAGTTATGATCTCCTTGGCACTTAGATAGCTTTTTGCAATGGGGTGCTGGTCCCTTGCAGCCTATGCTTGTTATACCAGGAGGCTGAATCGATGGTGATGTCAGGCGGTGGAACTTCGTTGATTGTTTGGCATTCTACCTGACTGTCAGGGGATGTTGCTTATTTTCAGTCACTGGATTGTCTGGATAATTTATAAACACTGAACATTAAGCACACTTGATGTCATAGCCAGAAAGCATGGACTAATTATCACACTATCAGCTACTGTTGGTTCACTTGAAACCAGACACATTGCTGGTTGCTAACCAAATAAGTAATACACTATCTTTTAAAAAAGCAAATGTTATATAGAATAGTACATTGTGGCATTTAAGTCAAAATGATGAATGTTCCATAATTTAATCTTTATTTTTGATCATAATAGACTGCCAGCTTACAAAGGTATGTGGTCATATGTTGTATATTTCAGCGCGAAGTGTGACAACTCTTGTCCTGACAGGAGACATCACAGTGTTGACCAATTTTGCCCTCAGCTGTCTCCTCAACCTGACACTGATGCTGCTGGTCATTTACTACAGGAGGATCAGCAAGAAGAAGCTCTATTAGGATTACTATTGAATCCTGCATGAGCAGGATATTTGTTAAGTCAGGAGAAAGATAGGACACACTGGGGTTTTAAGTCAAGTAGATATGTTTCTTAAAAACATGTTTTAGGCCTTATGTTATGCCATATTTCTTATGTAGCGTTTCTGTTTCATTCTCGGAAGAAACTTTGGTATGTGATCAGGTGAGCTTCAGGCCCACATGTTGATATGATGGTCTAAGAATGTTTGAAAACCGATTAGTTTGTGGCTGTCAAAATGAAATCAAGATTTGTTTGTGCAACTTTTTAAATTATGTATTTGGTGTGAGCGGGATGTTTAGTATTTTAACTACGACATTTACATGTGTTTTCCATGTGTAATTTAAGAAAAACCTATGTATCTCTTTTTGAAGACTATTTTCTAGAATACCTCAGGAGATACATTTTGTAAAATGACCAAACATCCATGTTTTGATATTCTTTATCATATACATGTGTTGGACGTCAAGTGTCTCAGCATGGAACATGCAAACATGCTAAATAATTGTAAGGGTAACATATTTCAGAGCATTATTATGTGCAGAATGTAGAGGAAATAAGAAATTTTACTGTGTGCTTTGACATGCCAGAAGCCTATGATTGTGGGATCAAGTCCTGTTTGCCAGGATTATGTTTCTAAGTTTGTCAGCACCATACCCTAGTCTGCCTCACAGTCCCTGAACCACATTATTTTCCCTAATGCCTAACCATCCCTGCAATGCTAAAGTCCTAAATGAAGCAAGTCTAGATTTCCCCAGGTTCCTGAATCTCCCAACTCACTGGGGTTCCTTTTCAATTTAAATGAATTTGTTTGTTTCTATCAAAATTACTAGTATATATATTCAGGGACTAAACGTTAGTGTAGCTACACCATACCCTTGCTCCTGAAGCTCTCTAACCTGGTAAACATTACTTTAGGCTTTCCTCTCACATGAAACATGTTGTGATATAACTGGAATGCTGTTCAAGTCACTCATTCATTCACCCTCTAGGATTTTACAGAAAATGTTTCTTCAGGTGTCACTAATGTCTCCGATATGTGTCAAGATGAGATCAATGTCATATGAAGATATTTCCAAGTTTGGATGATATGGAAATAAGTCATAGAGGTACTTAACTATATTCCAAGTGTATACAGGTATGTGTGTTTTGCATTCCCCATAGGTGCAATCATCTCGTGCTCAGTCAGTATTATTACTCTAATATTTTGTGACAGTTTATTGACGTATTACATCTATGGAAGGTGCTATGTATATTGTATTCAAAGGTACATGTATATTTTAATATTCTGCATTGGTATTTCACTTTTGTTCATCCAGACATTGAAGTGTTAGGACATGACATCAACTTTGTACAGTAGGTTTACTAACATGGCATTGTACTTATTTTTGTATTAGTGTACACTCTGTATTGGTAAAAGAAGGTTTCCGCTTCAAAACTGTATTTGATGGGTTATATCCTGCTAGCCCACTGAAACGAAACTGTGAGAATCCATGCGCAGATAAACATGTATACCCCCTCTCAGATAAATTACAGACAGGCAAGGGGCCGATACCTATCATATTTAGCGGCTATTGTATGACTCGGGCAGGGAAGTTACCACCACCCTTTTTATATTTGAGACTTAAACACATTGCCTAAATCCTTTAAAAATTCGTAATTATAGTGGAACACATAGAAACAGGCCTCTTTGTTATCCAAAATTTATTATGGACCGGCCATAAGTTATCGGGTACAGATTCATCATTTTATGTGGTAAAATGATCACAAGGTTCTGTACATGCAAGATTGGTATAATCTTCTTGCGTAACTCTTTGTTTAATGATGAGAACAAAATGAGAGTTATAATTGAATATAGACTGTATCATTGTGTGGAAAGGGGTGCTAGGTCCGGGTACACGTTCACTATTAGCATCGTCCTGGAAATCCACGGTGGAATTCACCAAAGTGATAAACAGCGGCGTACTATCCAACTCACCCATTTTAAATCACACCCTGACCAAGTGTACCGTTGTTGGTTCGCAGTTTCCGCTGTTGAGCAAGGGAGTGTCTCATAGTGTACGCTATCACCCAACGCTATACACTAAAGCTTATGCTCAAATCACCGGAGTTTGTGAATTTGTGCGTGTGGTAAGATGAAACTTTGTTGATTGTCGTCGTACCCCGAAGGCGTATAGTGCGGGTCGTAGTGAGTGAGTGAGTTTAGTTTTACGCCGCTTTTAGCAGTATTCCAGCAATATCACAGCCGGGGACGCCAGAAATGGGTTTCACACATTGTACCCATGTGGGGAATCGAACCCAGGTCTTCGGCGAGACGAGACAACGCTTTAACCACTAGGCTACCCCACGGCTCATAATATCAATCACTGGTTTGTGTAGTCCAGAGTGTGGGATGTACATGTCGACGTCACGTAGTTGGTGTTGAGTTAATGCTTTCTGGAATATTCCAGCAATATCACAGCCAGGGACACCAGAAATTGTTTCACACATTGTGCCGATGTTGAGAATCGAGCCGAGTTTTCGGCGTGACGAGCGAATGCTTTCACCACAAGACTACCCCACAGCCCCAAAAGACAACAGAAAACACGGAAGCTAATGTGTGAAGAAAGTTAGCACTTTATTTAACAGCTTAATTATGTCAGTACTCAGCAAGTGTTAACAGTCATTATAAACCAAGATGTGACAAAATGTACATTTACAGCCACCAAATAGCACCAAACAAGATCTGAACCACCGGGGATCATACACTGTTAATATACAATATTCAGTATCATCTGAACGTTAGCTTCAGATGACACAAAAAGCCCCCTCCCCAACCCCAATTTAGGTCTCGATTCTAAAAGGAATCCACAGATTCTATAATTCCAAAAAGAGTTGACCAGTTTTGTTTTCCTACAGCTGCTTTCGTTTCAATCAGAAGTCGTGTGGAAGCCTTGAAATACCAAAGATATTCAAGATTACATCTATTAGCAATAAACCTCTCAAATGAAAACGACGTCATAGTTGTCATCATTTACAACAGCCATTTTGAAACAACGAATAGGCAAAATACAGCAATGTATCTTGAGTATATGAAACATTATTCTGTAATGCATAACATACAATGTACACAATATACACTCATTAACACAGTAAATATGAGACAACGGTCAAAGTCATGCCTGGTATAGCATCTAATATTTTCTCCCAATCTTAAAAAAAACGAAAGAAAATTCATTAAGTCTGTGAGATGTTTTCAGACAACCGCTTTTAAAGAAGGGACTGCGTTGGAATAACTTAGGTTTGTATAATTTGTTAAAATGCGAATTCTGTATAAAATGTAAAGTATCAGGAACCTTGCTAAAAAGTTGTTATGATGGAACTGTAAAGCTGAAATTCTCAATCGTGAACATACACGTTACCTACAAACACTTTCATATCTACGTGCATATCTTTTAATTTTTTGGGACTGAGACGTTTTAGAAAAGTATGTTTTGCTCAAGATAAAACTGAGTTGTTCTCGGGTTGAACACCCAGCATCAATGCCCGCTGAATTAAGATGCTGCATTTCGTGATGGTCTAATGGTGAGAAATACAAGATTTATAGATGTCAACTTCTTTATTGTGAATAACACGACCTTTCGGAACATATGCTTGCTCCTTCATCAGGTGTTGATACAATTGTCAATAAAGAGTTGACATAATAAATCTTGCTTTTCTTATGCATTCCACTTCTAAACACCCTTCAAACATTTAGCCTAATGGTGGTCTAAAAATGTTTGGCTTCGGCGGGAGAAAGATAGTGTGTTTTGGAACAATGACCGAAGCAAAGCATCGTTTACCTGACACAAATGTCAGCCTCTCAGCCCCTGGAGAATGTTACATGGTTTCCTTATCTGGCGTGAATGAACAGTCATACATATTATATCATTTAGTTTACACAGACACTTAATAGTCATGCTGCACACTGTCAACGTTTACAGACATTTCTCTGAATGATGATCACAAGATAGAATGTCATAGCAACGTGTCATGGAAACATTGATTGTTGGTCCAGTTGGAATAAATATAATAATATGGAATTGATATTTGTGTCCAACATTGAGTACCTTATACGGGTACTGTATGCAAATTGTGTCGGAAAATAAAAGTAGCATGGAAAGTTGACCTATGAGAGTTGGTCATATGATTTTGTACGTCATATGTCCCCAGATCCATTTAAGATCTTAGAGTGTTAGTTTAAATGTGTGCCCTGGAAAGTTGTAAAGACATTACCAATGTTTCTGTTAATAGTGATGTAAAAATGCCGGAATTTGTTGCGTCCCATGTAAGAGTCGTAAGAAATACATGTTGTATTGAATGGCAAACATGGCGGGTTTTAATGTTAATGCAGAGGAAGGTACCATTGTCAAATATCAGCATAAATTACTGACTTTGATTGTCATTTATATACACATGAAACGATGCGACTACAAACAGATTCATACCCTGTACATATGACTAAATGATTAAATACACCATTGATGGTGTGGGGATATTATCTAAATTCTATAACAGACTCTACAACGAGTATTTGGTATGGAATACTGCATGGCAATACTTTGTTAACATGCTTTGTTAATTAAGAATGCATTATCATCAAAAGCCTTGCAAAGTCCAGGACCTCGTACCCCAAAGCTACATAGTTGATCTTACTACAATATTTAGATCGATTCGTAGTACAGAGCCGAGATCCACAAAGCGATCTTGGTGCTTAGTTGATCTAAATACTATACTAAGATCGATTCATAGAACAGAGCCAATATCCACAAGCGATCTTAGCGTTAAGTTGATCTTACTCCCATAGTAAGATTGCTCCATGGGACAGAGCCAAGATCCACAATGCGAGCTCCGCGGTAAGTTGATCTTACCCCCATACTAAGATCGATTCCAAGAACAGAGTCAAGATCCCTTGTATCCTCTTGGAGGCTTCTTTATGTTAATCTCCATGGTTTGGATATGATTACAGGAAGAGGCTAAAGGATCTTAACATGGCTCCAAGACAAGAGTAGCTCAACGTTACCGATATACTCAAGGCAAGTCTGGCTTCTTGAAGACCTCCTTCCGTGACCTTCTTGAGGACCTCTTTCCGTGACCTCGCGGTCGATTCACCCAGTTTCTTGGCTAACACAGAACAATACAATACGGAAGTGCATAGACAGTTACATATACATGGCAGTGATGTCTTAGTGCATTAGTACATACCACACTTGTCAACGGTTAGTCTCAATGAGTGTGAAAGACAACATCCTTGAAGCGTTAGTACTTCAACACGTAATCCATAAACTTGACCTGCACCAACTGAGTATCATTGGGAAAGGTCTTAAGTACAATCATACCATACCCCAACATGTATAATTGTTGGGTAATATTTTTAAAAAATCAATATTATCGTACCCTCCTTGAAAAAACAATAAGTGAAAATAACAAAAATGGGTTGAATAAATTCTTTGTGTCGGCCGACCGTAAATTATTGCGGCCCTCAAAGCAAACTATGATGAAGTTATGTTGCCTTTGATATGGCAGATTACACGAGTGTCTTACATTACAATTCTTAAATAAACTGATAAATGTAATTGGAAAAGATGTCAGCCAAAGACAAAGGTCAGCCCATGTGTAAAGGTATCAATTCTAGGTCGGAACCCTAGCCTACGACCTAGACATGAGAGTCGTGGTGTCATTGGACTACTGTCTTTCACGTCCTTGACCTAGCGGTGGTTGGGATCAGCAGCTGGAATCCTTGCGAGACTTGCTGGACATCTCGCACGACTGGCTCTGTTTGCGCATCAGTGATGCGGACTGTGTAGAGGCACTGGGGCGCTTCTTGCTGATGTGGAGTATTCTTTTGTATTCCTTGAGCACCTGCAGCAGAAAATTACAGCATCGGTATGAGTAAAGTACATTTGTGTTTCTTGATTTCACTTGATTTTTTTTGCCTGGGCCTGCTGGATTCGAAAACTCGCTCCGATTATGATCATTGGCAGGTCAGCACCTTACCTATGTTCATGGTTTTCATCGACAGGTATACCAACCAAATGTAGTACAGACATTTGTCATGATGTCTCATGACGCCAATTTATATACGAGATAAAACGATGAATGGTTCAACAGACGGGTAAATCAACAATACAAAATCATACAGTCTAAGTACATGCCCCTATGTTTCAAAACCCGTGACGACCCCGGTTAGAATTGGCGTTCAACAACCCACGCTTGTCATGAGAGGCAACTAACCGGATCGGGTGGTCAGGCTCACTGACTTGATTGACACATGTCATCTATCCCAATTGCATAGATCAACGCTCATGCTGTTGATCACTGGATAGTCTGATCCAGTCTCGATTATTTACAGACCATATGGCTGGAATATTGCTGAGTTCGGTGTTTAACAAACAGACAAACAAAACAATCAATATTTCAAACATAAAACACCCCTATCTGCGATGTGGTAGGACTAGCCCAGCTTCAACATAACATCACGGAAATGGGTTATGAGTAATCAATAAGTCCTGTATGTATCCAAGCTACTGAGACTATCTCGGTCGTCTCACCTTCTTGTTGAGGAGGCAGTGGAAGCAGAATATGAAGAGACCCTGGAGACTGTTGAGGATGGTGAAAATATAGGCCAGGGCGATGGTTTCCTTGCTGATGTAGAAGTAGCCAAATGTCCAGGTGAGACCGAGCAGAACCTCCATCGACAGAGCACCCTGCAGCCATGTTCTGGAGAAACCAACAGAACAATAAATACAGGATTCTTAACCTGTTTCACAACGACTGACTAACGGAAGATCATGATGTATTACAAGCAGTTGGTGGGTCAGTGGACCGAGCCAACTCAATTACTAAGGCTATGGTCTGATCGAAGCCTGTTTCGCCTCGATTACGAGTCCTGACAAAGACCACAACGTTTCACTGATGTGGAAAACAGTACGAAACGCGCGTCCTGCTGGCTTCCACAAGAAACTATAAAGGACCCGTGGTTTACCTGGCCCGAAACTGAAGGAAGCACTCATAATATACTTTACACAAACCTTCAATATCGGATATGAGCGTACAGTCTGTACTGAATGGATTCTTGATAGAAAGACAATGCAATTATATTTTAATATTAGTTTTCTTACTACTTGATCAAATTGACCAGTTGTATTAGCCACTTTAATGTTTAAGCATAAAACTACATTTTCTTGTGGACTAATGCCTCGTATTTTAATACTGTTTGTAAAGTATGTCAAAAGTAGCTTCGTCTTACGATCAACTATTTACTTACAGTTTTCCCCGTTTCTGTGTTGTTTTTTACCTTAAATATGGCCTTATTTCGTGACTGTAAATTGTCCCTTTGTCATTGTTGCTGTCTTTAACTTATTCACTTTGTCAAAAGGTTATTTCCATGACCGGTAAACAAAATCCTTAGAATTAAACGAAAAAAAGAAGTATTTTTAGGTTGCTTTTTTAACTTGTTAATCTGTTTCCTAACTACTTGGTTAGTGGACTTGTTTGGTATACACACGTATTAGATTTAGAATATGATTGTGTTAAGTTACTGTGTGGAAACAACATTAGAAAGCATCGATATTTTGTCTGGTTGAAGGTGTCACCTACCTCATGCCGCCTGAGTTCTTCTCCTTGCTGTTGAGGACGTACTCGGAATGACGACACACCATCACCATGGCATACGTCAGGATTATGGCGTTTACCTGGGACATGAATAGATGTGAAATATTTAGGGTATACGGCTGAATGAAATAAACAGAGGCCTCATTGTATGTTCTATCTCGTTCTATGTAAATTGATGTCTTTTGTTTGTTTGTTTGTTTGTTTGTTGCTTCACGCCGCAAAATGCCAGCTACATGACGATTGTCTGTACATATTCCAGCCTAGATCAGACAATCCTGTGATTGAGATCATGAGCATCGATCTACACAATTGAGTTATGATGGGATGCATCAAACAAGTCAGCCAGCGAAGACCAATTCTAACCCGGATTTTCAAGGGCAGCAAATTGGTCTCTGATTCCGTGGAGCAAGAAATCACCAGTAACCCATGCATGATGACACAGCAGAACTTAGGTAAACAAATTGCAGTAGGGGGGTTCGGGTGAGTGAGTTTAGTTTTATGTCGCTTCTTAGCAATAATCCATCAATATCACGGCGGGGGACACCAGAAATGGGCTTCACACATTGTACCCATGTGGGGAATTGAACCCGGCCTTCGGCGTGACGAGCAAATGCTTTAACCACTAGGCTACCCCACCGCCCAGGGTGATCCTAGTGTGGCTGGTTTAGCTCATCGCCAGCTCAGGTAACCTTGCCCCCTCTACACGCAGCCCAGACAGGTAGTGGGACTCCTTAGCTCCACGACTGATGACATATTGCCGCCATGTTCTAATTATACTTTCAGATATGATATAATTCCCTTGCCATTTTAGAGGTTTGATGGTACCAAGATAAGTTTCATTACTCACCAAAAGTATCAAGGCAACTGGACCAGCGAAGCTCCAAATGAAGAAACGGTCCGTTGTCAGCCAACAGCTGAAACAAATACAGTACATGTCTGGTTTTAAAATTAGTTCCATTAACGTCAAGTGTGATTTAAGCGGAAGAGTTATCTTTTCTTTCCAAAAGGGTTTACGCCGCCATTGATGCTAAAAACGAGGTTCAGGACTACTTAGTGAAAGGACGTCGTAAAAAATAACATTCTGACGAGAAACGTGCATGTTTTGTTTAATTTATGACCACATGTAAAAGAAAATTAATCGCGATAATGATGTCTGAAGGTTATGAAATATAAAACGTCAGCGCCAAAAAATAACCAGTTTGATTATCTGCCGGAACAGAGTCAGCTGAGCGAAAGGTAAGATGGTGGGGAGATATTAAGTATAGATTACTGAAAATCAATGCTGGCACCAGTTGTTGGCACCAAGGGTTAAGCATTGCCTGTTGACAAGTATTGCTAAGTTTCTGATGAAGGCTCGTAAAATTAGAAATGTATAAATTTCAGTCAGTATTCTACACATTAAGATCCATATGTTATTTCTTAGATATAGTATGCCTATACACTGTGCAAAAATGTCAGACACTTTACAAAGCAAAATTGTATGATTGTTACAACATACTGTCACTTTATGACACTTGTGCAAATTGAAAGATATATTTCCTTAGATATATTCTACAGTATTATAAACATGTTTTAAGCTAGTCCAGATATAATAGCTTCCAACCTCCAACTGTAACAGGGAGGCATAATACACTGTACTGTAATAGACTCTGTTTATATTGCTATACCAGTAGTTGAAGAGGAATACCATTTAATTGTCAATGTTTAAAAGATGCATAAGATAGAATGTTTTCCACCATACCTATATATTGGTAACCCGTATAAGGATAATTTTGTTAGACTTGTGTCATCTAAGGATGATGTTTTGATAAGTATTGCTACTTTTTCTTTAGAAGGGTATATTATGCCTGTACATTGTGCAAATATGGTTCCATAGCTTTCAAAGGCAATAATGTATGATTATTACTGGTTTTACCAGCATCAAACAAAATGTAAAATTATTCTGTAATGTGGGCCATGGCCTTATATACTGAAATAAAACTGTCTGTCTGTCCTACCCAACTCGCTACTCACACAAGTCTCATTAAAGTGAACGTGTCTTACTATTGGTCTGTTCCATAACCTTGGTAGTAGAAGCCCGCAGATATAGAGACAATGATGAGAGGAATACCTGCAAAATACAAACATAGAAGGGTCCTTGGATCTCAGTGCTGAACGTTTGCAACGTCACATTAATGGAAACCAAAACAACAGAAGTTTAAACACTGTGAAATAAGACACACATTTTAGTAATTGTTGGTAACAAATCACTATATGGAACCTAAGCTAATACAGTGGAAGCTGTCAAAACCGGCAGCTGTCCAATCCGGCAAGTTGTCAACACCGGCATATAATCTCAGTCCCATCCGTGGCTAGTACATTTTTCATCATTTAAGAGTTCTGCAATCTGGCAGCTGTCAATTCCGGATCTCAGCATGAAATGAGCCAATCGAATATGTGTTTATACATAATTTAATCTTAGTACAGTATGGGTATACTTGTACATGTAATTAGTGTGTATACAGAGAAATTGAGAGAACCACGTGATACAACAATGTATATTTGACTGACAAAACTGGTTCAGTTCTAGTCATAGGTAACCGTGACAGGTCTACAATAAGACACGCTGTCTAAACCGGATTATTTCTTCATTCCCAATGTGTACCAGTTTAGACAGCGTCCACTGTATATCCTACTCAAAAACGTTACAGAACACCTGAATACTTTGATTGTGACTATTTTTAATCTAGGTATTGTTCCTCACAGCATCAATTATTCGATTGTCTAATTAAGACATTTTTATTGACAGATGGCAGGAATATTTCTGAGTGTGGCGTTCAACCTCAAACATCACCCCCTTTAAACTGATGGGAAACATTACAAGAGACCCACCATATCCAGTCATGTAGTAGTAGGGAAGACGTGACTTGGCGGCATCGAACACCTGGACCAGCATGATGACCATGTGGATACCCTCTATGAACATCCACATGAACACGCTGAGGAAGAAGTAGTGCAGGAAGCCGGCGATCAGAGTGCAGGCCAGCTGAAAACATATATACAGTCAGGTAAAACAGTGTGAAAGATATCCATTAGCACTCAGGGCCTAGATTTTCGAAGCTCTCTAAGATAGTCGTAAGTGCCATACATTAACATTATCTTACGACTATCTTAGCGCTAAGAGAGCTTCGAAAATCTAGGCCCAGGTATCAGGATGAGTGATCATTTTACATCGCTTTTAACAAAATTGCCGCAATATAACTTCAGGGAACACCAAAACTGGGCTGCACCTATTCTGCAATCTTGGAGAATCAAACTCGGATTTTCGGCTTGACGAGCGAGCACTTTAACCACGAGGCTACCTAACGCCCACAACGAATAGACAAGGGATAGTTTCACAGTCCGTGAGCTATATTGTTTATCCTTAGATTTCCTCAGGATCAGAATGTCCCATCTCAGTGGGGCTCCTTTTCTGTTTAACTCCTTGTTTCTCTAAGAATTACATATTTTCAGAGACCAAGCGTTAGTCTAGGCATAGACACATCAAATTGGGTAGTACAATTCATCCACGAAGTCTACCAAAGAATATTAGAGTTCGTTAATTCAGAAACTTTGGTATATGGTCTCTTGATAACTTTTTTTTTTTTCGAAATTGCTAATTTTTCCAAAGGCCTTATGGTAGAGGTGGCCTCAGTTCGGTAGCTCTCGTTAATCTTCGGTATGACACGGTAAAATTATCAATGTTTATTATCGACTACAAAAAGATACGAAGTAATTCCTCGAATTACATAAGGAACCTTGTGTCTCGCTGATGGGAAGCTAGGGCGTCTGTTTTGTGATTTAGTACGTCGATAACGTGTATACAGAAACATATCCATGGCGTTGAATGACGTTGTTTACGTCGGCGAAAAATACGCAACCTTCGTCTGAAAACAGCTTTGTATGATGAACTCATCGCGAGGCTGATCAGTGCACACGGCCCCAATGCACGTTGGAGATGGAGAAACGACAAGGTATTTGTTTACTACTGCACAAACGCACCGACAGCATCGTTACACGAGGTTTCTGCATCTTCAGCGAACACACGGGAGGAAATACGTATTTATTTAACGCTGATTTTTTTAATTCCTTCTCGTTGATCCAGTGTCAGGATATAAAGATAACAAACAAAAACAAATCTCGACAGATGTCTGGAAGTTAAAATGTGTACATGGGAGCTGACAGATTTGTCGACAGCCTGGGGAAGCAAGACGGTGCTGTGCAATATCTGCTGTTGTGCAAGGGAGGGGTTAAGCGTATGGCGAGACGTAACGGCACTCAACCTACTTTTACCGTTAGTCTTACGTTACCGAAGTTTGTGTAATAGTGTAACTGGAGATATGTATTTCAGACCACCAAGATCCAGTCAGAATTGGTCCCAGAAAGCTACGTTGGTCGTTCGCGGCGGACAAAGTGCATCGGGTGGCCAGGCTTGGTTACTTGCCAGGCCTAGATTTTCGAAGCTCTCTTAGCGCTAAGATAGTCATAAGTTAATGTTAATGTATGGCACTTACGACTATCTTAGCGTTAAGAGGGCTTCGAAAATCTAGGCCTTAGTTCATAAACGTCATCGTAACCCGATTAATTACAATTAATGCAGTTGTCATCTTAAATTGCAACAAAATATGTTTATTTTTGTCTCGGGCGTTTGTTGAAATATCCCAATATGCTACTGCAAGAGAGCCATATTGGAAATATGCCTTTCGGCTAAAGCAATTGCTAAAAACACACACACAAAAGTATGATATATATGCGTATACTAGATGTCACTTATGAAGTTGTGGAATTCAATCATAAAGGTTGGTTGGTTTGTTGTTTAACGCCGCACTCAGCAATACTACAGCTGTATGGGGGCGGTCTGCAAATAATCGAGTCTGGACCAGACAATCCAGTGATCAGCAGCATGAGCATTAATTATAAAGGAGAGACCGAGAGAGTCTTGGTTTTCTTTGTATGGTGATTCATAAGCCTTTAGCTACAGCAGCAACACCAGATTGTTTTATGAAAACACTTTGCAACAATGTATATTTGGCAGACAATCTTATTTTAGAAAAGTCTGATGCATAATACTATTTTCAAGAATTTCCTGGGAATATTCCCCACCTCCAATGGTCGTTCCCTTATGTGGGATAAATGACGCTTGGAAATATTTTCGACATACCCTTAAGTAAGGACACCACAGATGAAGAAATCTGAACTGCTTTACACCTTTCCAACATATTTATTGACATGCTTCTGCTGTTGCGTCACTCACCTTATTTTCCGTTCTGCTGACACCCGTTATAAATAGAATCTCTGCAACCCACAGACACACCACCAGATTCTTGTGTATGGAGTTCCTTTCTCCTTGGAGCGATCTACAATGAAGGTTACAGAATATGTCAAACTGCTATAAAGAGCTACAGAGTCTCATGTTATTTAGTTTGTGTTGTTTTGTCTGGACCAGACAATCAAAAGATCAACGTTATGAGCATCGATCCTCGCACACTGGAATACGATGACATATGCCAACCAAGACAGCGAGCCTGACCATCCAATCCCGTTAGTCACATAATTCTAACCCGGATCTTCACGGCTTTTGAAAAACATGCAAGGTATCAGTCGTATTGTCGCAGGCGATGTAAGGACAACACTAGACTAAGGCTTAGTCTCTGAATATATATAATTTTGATAGTAACAAACAAGCTCATTTATATTGAAAAGGAGCCCTAGGGAGACCAGAGATTCTGAACCTGAGGAAATCTAGACTTGCTTTATTTAGGGCTTTAGCACTGCAGAGAGGGCTTGGCAGTAGGGAAATTAATGTGGTTCAGGGACTGTGAGACAGACTAGGACAACACTACTACTACTGTTATTATTGTTGTTGCTATAGTTACCCGAAGCAGGTGAAGGTGATCCAGCTGGCGAAGAGACAGAGGATGGAGATGATGCAGCCTACCAGAGTGATGAACTCCAGCAACATCTTGTGGACAGTGTGCATCTGCAAGGACAGACTCAGTATTTAGCATCATATTGCAGCTGTGCCCTCGTATACTGTGCGACGTATATAGACAACTGGCATTAATTACCAGTATTGAAGCAAGACATCCAAACGTAGGATATCCAAACACAACCTTTGAAAATTGGTAATCGAACCTGGGTCTCCGCTCTGACGAGTAAGTGAGTGAGCTTAGGTTTACGCCGCTTTTAGCAATATTCCAGCAATATCACGACGAGGGACACCAGAAATGGAGTTCACACATTGTACCCATGTGGGGAATCGAACCGGGTCTTCGGCGTGACGAGCGAACGATTTAACCACTGGGCTACCCAACCGCCCCGTTGAAAAGCGTAATAAATGTTATGCATCTGTTTCTTGTGTTGGGTGGTACCCACTTTGCACCAATAACAACTTCCCAAACAGTATCCATGTTGAAAATCGAACTGACCTATCATCTGAAAGAGCTGACAGATCAACCACTAGGTTATCCTATTTTTAATAGACACTATATATAACTTTAATAGACACCCGATACAAAATATCCGAAAAACCCTTCAGCAAGTCTCGGGCAAGTCTACATACATCAGTTTCATATAATGAACAGATACCCGGGGCTTCGCTCTATCAAATATTAAAAGACGTTTAACAAACAAGAGTATAAAGATTTTTCATTTCATTCAATGACGATGATGATTGTCGGTGCTGTTGGTGTAAACGATGTCTGGCGGCTTCTGCGTCCAAGATAAGAACCTCGGGCGCTCACAGCTGCAGCCGTAGGACCACATCTTACGAACACTTGTTACAGCCCCAGACCAATTCCAGAACAGGCGGATTCCCTCGGTGTCTACTCAGCGTCCGGGGATCGGGAAGAGAATAAATAACGCCGACAGTTGAATTTCCTCCCCACCCCTTCTTGTCCCCTCCCGACCATCTGGAGCGTATTTGAGGCATGCAGTGAAGGGACTGGATTCTGTGCCAGTAGACTTCCCTGGGGTAGAGACCTGGGAACGTCGGACAACGTTGAAGGATGGAAAACAAACATCTTGTTCGACGTCGGTAAAATCTTGGGGAAACAGTAACAAGCAGTTGGGGGTACAATTAGGGTTGTGGATGTGTTGGGTAAGGGAAGACAAGGAGGCAGTGGGTGGCGGTATTGTTTGTTGGAATTGTTTAAGAAAACAAACAAGGGAATACTTTTGGTTTGGGAAAGCATTTGATAGAGACGGATCGGCTTCGAAGAAACATTCTTGGCATAAATAGTTATACTGCATGATATAAATCCAGAGACCGAGCTCCCAGTATCATAGGGGGCGGTGGGCTAGCCAAGTGGTTAAAACGTCCGCTCGTCACGCCGAAGACCCGGGTTAGAATCCCCACATAGGTACAATGTGTGAAGCTTATTTCTGCTGTTCCCCGCCGTGATATGGCTGGAATATTGCTTAAAGCGGCGTAAAACTATACTCACTCACTTACCCAGTATCACAACGAGGACAGGCGGGTGGATTTTATATCTTTCCTTAGGGTTCACATTCGCTAAATCACGAAGTACATTTTATAATAATAATAATAAAAAAAGATACTTAAAAGTAAAATTAAGACATAAAAGATTTTGCGTTAATGTAGATTTAAAATATTAAAAATAACTTAAATGTTTCGGATACTGTGGCACATTATTAACATGAATTGCGAGCTAATTTCTACAAATCTGAGTTACTATATTTCAGCAGCCTTCCAGTTAAATAGCAGGCTGGACGATAGTGAGGATTTGACTGGCCAAACCGGGGATTAATAGCATGAACACCGATTGATCGATGCCATCGGGACACAACGATACACATGTAGTCAACAAGTCATGACATTGTAACGATTAAATTCAATATATGTCCCCCTTTAGGGTACCAGGGACCTATTTTACCCGGAATTCGCCCTTATGTGTCCAGTGACAGTGAGTGTACAGTGTTCGAGCGATAACATAACAGAAACATAGTATCTGTAAGGGAAATCGAACCCAGGATTCCGGCGTGGCGAGCGAACGTTTAACCTCTGAACTGGCAACTGCCGGTATACAGCTATAGACAGTAGCTCAGCCTAGGATTCCTGTTTGTAATCAGAAACCTGTTTATGATCCAATTCTGCGCATTACGTTTGTCACTAAGGTGCTTCTAAATACTTCTACCACATCAACTGTCAACTCGAATATACGATCCTGTCCGAATCTAAGGATGGTCCTCAATAATCGAACACATTCGTGTTTGAAAGACTGACTGACTGAGTTTGGTTTTACGCCGCTTTTAGCAATATTCCAGCAACATCACGGCGGGGGACACCAGAAATGGGCTTCACACATTGTACCTATGTGGGGGTTCGAACCCGGGTCTTTGGCGTGACGAGCCAACGCTTTAACCACTAGGCTACCCCACCGCCCCGTGTTTGAAAGAAGCCAATGATCCTGGTATCTGCCCTTTGACTCTTGAGATATGATACAGATGTTGATGATACTATTCTTGGAGCCCTAACAGTAAATCCCTCCCTTAAAACGGGAGCCACCTGATTGTACAATAAACCGTATCGAAATACTTAACGCTTCAACAACCTCTTAAGTTACGCCCTTTGAAGCGGACGGGATGGGGTTCTTAAACACGTCTGAAATCATCTGTTTAACTAGGGCGGACATCGAAACGATCTGACGATGCAAAAAAACACTTCCACCACGTGTTTCTATAGATACGGCGTCGCTCTGTAGACGTTGAGGCATAGACACACGATCGTTCCGAGTTGCACCTTATCATCAAGGACAAGATATGGAGCCCAGTCTACAAGTGGTTGCTCGCATTGGTTTCTTTGTATTTTGACACAAACTCTCGTGTTTCACGAGAACCTCGTGAGATCTGGGGGAAATCATTGAGAAGTCACTTTACGTCGTTTAGATAAGTTTATCTTCAGTTTATTTACTTCTTATTGCTCCTAACGTAGATTACGACCAGCTTGATTGGAGTGTTGACTCCCAGTCCTTGAGAGCTGATTAAAAGGCTGTTCGTACAATAGCCTACTGTTGACATGAGTAGGGCACTGTTGCTCATATCATGTTGATATACAACCACGTGTGTATTGATCAATAAATAACAGGCTAACTACTTCGACATTTGTGGCAGGTTTAACGTACTGATTGCTCGTCAATTAAACAAACCCTTTGGTTCAGAATAGAACTACTGTACTTCATAATAGTTAAATGGGGGATCTTGAAGATCACGTGGTTGCATCGTATATGTCATCGTGTCCTGATGGCATAAATCGTGATTCAATCACCGGTTTGACTGGTCCAGGTTCAGGTATTTACGGTTGCTGTGGTGTAATATGCGTTAAAATACATGCGTTCACGCATTCCCAGTCCGGGATCGTTGACATCAAGGCAACAACATTCATGGCCTGGGTAAAGCATTCAAAACGTGTTTTGATAGAACGTGGAGAACGTTACCACATTTGACGCATCAGTAACAAACATTATGTTCTACGCAATTCCCTATTTAGACATACATGTATGCTCCCGTCTTTTTTCAGGAGGGCGGTTGGATAGCCCGAGTTTGATTCCCCACATGGGTACAATGTGTAAAGCCCATTCCTGGTGTCCTCCGCCGTGACATTGCTGGAATATTGCTTAAAGCGGCGAAAAACTGAACTCACTCACTCTTTTTCAGATGAAACTTTGACTTGCCTTTGCACGTGTTTGTGACGGGTGCCAGGAAAGGCTCACCTTTTCCAAAACATCACTAGTTGATAGCGATTTATATACACATGTTCAAGATACTACCAGAATGATACAAGCAGTCGACTCTGCTTTTAGCAAACAGTTCTTTTGACAATGTAAATGATTTTTGTCACTATAATCTGATTATTTGAGATCCGACGTGAAAGTCGACCGCTTCAATGGTAGGGCGAGATAAGACAGTAATTCACTAACTATTCGCCTGTAATTGAAAACCAGACATTCTGATAAACAAGGGAACACATTAACAACTTGGCTACCACTCGCCCCTTGAAAACAAAGGCAACTGATATCGACTAACGTGTAGGCCAGGATCTTGCCAGCAGGCTACACTCGTTTTAACATCATGGATACGGTTAATTACAGTAGAGATTGCGACTGTGGAATCTTTCAGGTAATGAAGCCAAGACATTATCTCTGAGTATAAATATAGAAATTCACCACTAATTCCTGATTAAATTCTTGTTTTCCTTACTTAGACACTGAGGGTCCGGTGTTCATGAGTGTGTAGGTTGCCTTGGCCCAAGTCAATATTGTGTTCCGTAAACTGACGTGCAATAGGATGTACGCACCTGTTGTTTTTTTAATATTTATTTATTTATTTATTTTTTTTTTTTTTCACATCATTTTTTATTCACTTCACTTGGATACACTTTGTATGAAACAATCCGTGGACAATATAAGGATTGGCATGTCACTTTGTTTCAATTTCCACTGGGGGAAAAAGAGCATGTAAAACTGGAGCAATGGCAGATACACACGGGGTATAAGCTATTTCATTGTCACAATCACAGAACATTTTGGAGTATAATCCATTTTCTCTCAAATAAATTCATATTGAAATTTTTCTAGCAATATATTTATTTATTTATTTAGGGGTGGGGTGGGTGGGTGGGTGCGTGGGTGTTGTTTTGAAAAGTACTTTGATTGTGACTTACCAGTCAGGACCATTGTATACATTGCAACATCAGAGAGGAGCGATAAACGTGCCATTGGAATGTCGCAGATGGGGTTTTAAACAGCCATATTAAACAAAGCAGGCCATCAGACTATTGAGACGCGTCAACCAAACTGACCCGACATCTCAAAGAACCGGAAGACCGGGAGTGACCATCCCGCAAGTTGCGACTTCTAAAGGGCAGATAATGCACTTACGGACATTTTTCAACCATTTTAGAAGCAGACGAAATGTCGAAACCGGAAGTCATGAGACTTCCAAAGGGATGATGATACCTTTACATGTATGTACTTTTACCAGCCATTTGAAATCAGACGATATGTACAAATAGTAAGTGGTCTGTTGGATGAGACTTTAATAGGTGGCAGAATACCCTTATCTTCTTGTTTCACTCGTTAACGTCGGTTTTATACAAAAATCAGAAAGAAAACTTAAATCAAGTCTCTCACTCACCTCTACTCCTTCCACGTCCATCAAGATAGCAAAATTGGTAAGATGGTCACATTTGCACGTGGTGTGAGTGTTGTTTGTCCCGGCCAAACGGCAGCCATCTTGAGACCAACGACCGTAGCCTTTGCTGAAACATAAACAAGAACACTATAGCTAAGACAAGCAATATACTATGGCGGGGCGCTTTATTATCGTCTTGTCAGTTTATTGACAGAGTATACATAGAGAAATTTTCGCGATAAACTTCAAGGAAGACCAGCACGAGATATTTCTTCTCAGGTTTATGAGGAACAAACTTGATGGCATTTCATGATGACATGCACGAATGAGGTGTCTAGATATGTCGACTACAGTGGGATACAGAGGCCAATCCTCGGCAATTTGGAACAGCCAGGCCTTATGTAGCCTCTTACTCGCATGTCTGCTTGACAAACGCATTATCTCTGAATATATAATTTTGATAGAAAGACAAAATAAAATAATTCCTTTTAAATTGAAAAGGAGTCCCAGTGAGATAGGAGACTGAACCTGAGGAAATCAAGACTTGCTATAGTTAGGGCTTTAGTATTGCAGAAAGGGCAGGGTGCAGGGAGGGAAAAATGCGGTTCAAAGACTGTGAAACAGACTCGCTGCAAAAGTACATAAAATTAACTACAGGTCTAGAAAATGGTTTGAGTGTGTAGAATTTGTTCGTTGCTCAACGCCATAATAGTTCAACTGACTGACATGACTTTCCAACTAATCACGTTTGGATAAGACGATCTTGTGATGACAGAACGAACATCGATCGTGGGATCTATTCAGAAGGTATTCGCACTCAGTCTGGTACTGGCACTGTGCAGGCATATTCACAATTCAAAAGCAAATTCAACATTTTTCAGTCACCACTGAAAACCTTACATTTTGTTTCTCTAATGAATGGACAAACCACTTGGGACCCACAATAGTGTCCAATGAATTGTATAATTTTCTCAGCATTTTCACTATCAGTTTGTCTTATAAAAACGATAACATTGCGAAGTGTATAAGAAGGTGGGCGACATTTTAAAACTATATTCTGATTCAACAGCACCTCTTTTGATAAACAAACAGATTTTTTTAACAGCATTTTTCAAACAGCTCATGGTAAAATGAAACAGCTTTATCAACAGTTCATCATGGGGATGTCCCTATGTTGGTGAGAAAAAAGAAAATTGTTTAAGTAATAAGTCGAATTATCAGACTGAATTCGATGTTTTGATAAAAATGACGTCACACACACGGACATCAAACACCAAGCATAAACTACACGCAGCGGCCGACGATTAAATGTATTCCGTTGTCTTTGACAATGATAAGAATGTCCTGTTATGACTCGACCAAGCCTTAGACTTCAACCATGTCCATCAAGCACTTAAGCTACGTTACCAAGAGTACATATGACATATTTAACCTTAGATGAAAGTAATTAATTAAAAAACAGAAACATCAAAGGTTCGGCGCTCTTGACACTTTGGGCGGTTCCGGATATTCGATCCGACTTTTGAGTCCATTCTTATAAACTGCTTTCTACCAATCAGTAATAACACTTCTATCATCCGGATGATAAATTAAAATCCGGAACAAAGTTTAGACACTCAGACGACGCGCTGACACAAGTCTAAGTCCGCCCCCCGTCGCAGACGGCAGGAAACGTGGCGACGTCGGTCTTTGCCTGCTGGGGCATATACACGTACACTCTCCCATAAACAGCAGCGATAATGATAAAGGTTTAAGTTCCAGATACGTATAATTTGCAATTGGAAGATCCCGGCTGTGGGTGTGATGTTGTTCTAATTGAATGACACATATTTTGGGGGACAGTCTCTGTCAGTTGTCGAAGGTTTTACTGAAATGAAATTATATTATATTGAAGTTTCAATTCTTCTTCACAGTTGTCTCGAAGTAAGTCATCATTTTGCGGTTTGCGAACCTCGTATAACTCGAAGTATTATATATGTCCCTTCGACATAACGGTGTTCGACTATGTACCCGTTTTACTCGAATGTACAGTTGTCTCGAAGTAAAAAAGCTTGATCCATTTGTATGCTTTCTTTATTCGCCATGTTGCGGTTGTGTCGCACCTTGGCTAACTCGAACTATTATGCAGGACTCTTCGACACAGCGGTGACTGACTCCGGTACACCGAGTTTTTTCAGTTACACAGCCTGTTAGCTTGGTGTGAGACGAAATCCCGAGATTTTCAGTGTTTACCCGGGGTGGTGGAGTAGCCAAGTGGTTAAAGCGTTCGCTCGTCACGCCCAAGGCCCGGGTTCGATTCTCCACATGGGTACAATGTGTGAAGCCCATTTCTGGTGTCCCCCGCCGTGATATTGCTGGAATATTGCTAAAAGCGGCGTAAAACTAAACTCACTCACACACTCAGTATTTACCCATTTTGGTGAGACCCACGAGCACGTTTATGGGGACAAACGTAGAAACATAGTCAGGCTGAACCGGAATTCAAACCCATAATCAACGGTTTCACTAAGGACGAAACTTGCAGGGCACAGCGGATTCTCAGAATACTTGTGAGTGAGTGAGTTAGTTTTACGCCGCACTCAGCAATATTCCAGCTATTTGGCGGCGGTCTGTAAATAATCGAGTCTTGACCAGACAATCCAGTGATCAACAGCATAAGCATCGATCTGCGCAATTGGGAACCGACGACATGTGTCAACCAAGTCAGCGAGCCTGACCACCCGATCCCGTTAGTCCCCTCTTACGACAAGCATGTGTTGCTGAAGACCAATTCTAACCCGGACCTTCACGGGTATCTCAGAATACTAAATGAACAACTCTAATTTAACAACGGTATATATAGGGCATATCAATGTGACAACATACATACTCTTAACGTGTATGGTGACTCAAATATACTTACTCTTGTCTTATATCCCAGAAAGAACACTTTGGCGTGACTCCTCCAGGTATCTCCTGCGATAAAAACAATATTTCAATAGTTAAGTACAGTCGACAATGTGCAGCATTTCATCAAAGTAATAAAAGTGAATATGGGCCCACACTGCTTTTCATGATATTTTAGTTATACCACAGCATGTGATACAAGGCTCCACAAATGTACAGACACTGCGAATAAAACCCAGACTTCAGGATCAGGAGCGAATGCTTTAACCTTTAAGCTACCCTTGATATTTACCAGCCACGGGCTAGCGGGCCAGTGGCTATTTCGCACACTGATTCCAGTGGTGTTTAAGGAGCGCTTTTCTGTGATACCAATATGTGTTTATCTCTGTCAAAACTGATTTCCCTGAGGAGATATTGATCACTACTGAACAGACAGTGAACAATTCATCTGTGAACAAATACTGATAGTTAAACCTTAAAGGTCACTTGCAACGTAAAACACAACTTTGCAGATTCTGATACCTTTCGGTATGGACTTACCGAAACAAATCGTCAAAAATGCAAAGTCAACTTATAAAGTTGAAAAATAACGCGATGAAAAAAACCGCGCGAAATCGGAGTTCAAACGCTTCACTAATTTTCCCCGACTTTTCGGGGGACAACTGGTTTCAACAGCTGGGCTGCGCTCATAGCAGGTGCGCAGTGAAATAGGTTCTGTTGATTGCAAAATGTTATACACAAAAAAATGAGCATGTATTTGCAAAACCCAACATCTCTATATATACACACACAATGAGCCGTGGGGGCATCTGCAAATGAACCAGCCGTTACACTTGAGTGCACACCCACCCTCTCTGACTGGGTTCGGTATCCCGGCTGCTTCGTTTCTTGGGAAGTAAACCCAAGTACACAATATTGCACTTTCGATTTGCGATTGTACGCTTATAATTTTGTTTATATGTATTTTCATAAGCAGCAATGTATATTATATGTCATGAATAAGTGATAATTGTGTTTTAATTATGTTTGATTTTTTGGTTGCATGTGACCTTTAAAATCAGTAAGTTCAAAATCCGACCATTTTCACGCTGTTTATGAATATTCCTGTTGGTCAAAACGGGTAAATGAAAGAGAGAAATACACCGTGTTGTCAGTCATATGAACAGGTCTCATAACTTTGGCAACAATTTTCATTTGCATTTACCAAGGGTGCAGAATAGTCCGATCATTTTCTCGACCTCAGACATCCCATTTGCAACCTGATTGGATGCGGACGAGACTGCGCAGTTCGACAGATTTTTTAGTGAAATATTTTACATCAAGGAAATACAACTCTGTATCATCTTACCTGAGTTAACTTCATGGTGAATGTAATTGGTTCTGATAGTTGTATGATGCCGTGACTGTCAGTTCCGATTGAGGCGCTAAGAATGCTGCTTGCGATCTTCGTGCGCGTTCGTTTTTCATCGGTAGCACTCGGCCTTTCTTCGAGCAGGTCCGCCATCTTGTAATGCGTCATAAACACCGCCTTGGCAAGGCCGCCTTTGAATATATACAGTGTGTTTCATAAAGGTGGACACAGGAACAACAGATTATTTTCTCAATGTCAACACTGAACGCATCAAGAAACACTTCTATTTTCAGAAAACCGTTCACTAAAAACGCTTCTAAGACCCCTGAACGCTCGATGTTGCTCTACATGGCTCACCTTTACTCAGTGACTTGAGGGTTCCAACAGGGATGGAGATGACGTTGTCTGATCCTTCGTCGTCGTATGTAAGAGCATCCTCAGTCATGTTCTCCACGTCTATCACGTGTAACTCCAGATCTGAGCGTAGAAAGGTCCATTATGTATACTTGGTTAACAGTGTAACATATCATTGTTGACATAACTGTATCTGTATGTAAAGTCGAAATTGTAATTATAAGAAACATATCTTTATTACTTAGAGCAATGAAAACCACTTATGATAAGAATACTTTACAACATTAATAATAAAATTATGCGAGTCTGAGGCCATAAAGGTCAACTTAATGCTTCTCATTCCACCGTTGAGTCAAATGCTGCAAAATGTACCACTGGACAAACAGAAAATAACCAGTAAGGTACGAGGAGTCGCGGATGATCTGTCCCGAGGGATAATCCGTAATTCCAAATTTCGACTGTGAGCTACTATTGTTTTCCGCCGATTTTTAGCAAGAAGTAACTGGCAGGGATTGACGTAAGACTGATGTTCTAACATGACCTTAGAACCAAACAATGTCTATAATATTACATTTAACCTATTTATATACATGTTCTTTTGACCTTAAAATACTATCCGTGTATTATCACATACACATTTAAACCAGACTATATATCATAACCTGTGTCATCTTCTAGATAAGGACAAACTTTATGGATGAACAGCTTCTTTATTCGGATTTATATTCATCCATAAAGTTTGTCTTATCTGATTCACCAACTTCAAAACATGCCATAAAACAAGCTTTGCCATCTTTTTTCATTATGTATTTCTATTTTTTTCATTTAGTCATATTACAATTATGAATAAATGCAAAATATTAGGAAAACCTGTTATAATATAGCTTTGAAATGAATGAGGTCGAGAATACGCATTGAATTCATGTTAATTAAGAATATTCCATATCGTTACTACATGTCATTATGGAGAATGGCCATGAGAAACGTTTCAGTGAATGAACGCTCATGAACAAATTTGAATTCTGTTTACGAGTCAAAATATAATGCACTGAAAAGGGAAAACACTCTACCACTTAAAACACAGAAATACGGTCTGTATGAAAAGCTGAACCTTTCATCAAAACAAGGTCATGAGATATGCTTTTAATGCCAAAATAAATTATGTCAACGCGAGTGGCCTCCACAGTAGATATGCACTGTGCAAGCACTTTGCTTTAGATGAAATACATGTGTATACCCTTCCCCCTAGAAAGCCACGTATTTCGGGAACATATTTATCCACAACATACCTCGAGGTTTGAGGTCAAAGCTTGTCTGAACTACAGCTTAGCAAAAGGTGGCGTTTCTTAGAAAACCCAGAAAATTTCATGAATAAAGACCCTATGTGTTATCTTTAAACTGCAAAGGCTCTTAAATATTTACTCAAAGGTTCATAGTAAAGCGCTTTCAAAAATTAAAACGAAATTGGGCCTCTAAGAAAATACTGAAATTTGAGCCTTTCTTAACCAAGACGCACATTGGGGGAGTGTCAGCAAGCCACAGGCGCTTTATCATAACACGACAGGTTTGACATTGTTTTACCTACAAAAAATAAACACGCCAGATGCACACAGATTAAAATTAATTCAACGCTTGTCCCACGCAACAGTGAATTCGGTCTTTCAAGAAATTAGTTTCCAGATCATATTTTATCTTTCCTAATTTTCTGTTGCTGATAAGAACTAGAAAGCAGGTTCACGTTTACCACGAGACAATGCGAGAAAGGATGGTTTTGTACCCTCTGGGGCGCCATTTGTTGAGAAAACCCGGATCTATCAACACAGAACAAGCACTTCTTGTGTCGACAAATACAAATCACTCTCAGTTACAAATTACTGTACAAAAACTTCAATCGCCGATAAGATTGTTTTGTGCCATACTTAAATCCCGATGAGTGAGACTGAAATGATAAGATTGCGAGAAGGTGTATTATAAATAACTATTTGAAAGTGATAAACCAGGGCGGGTGCATGTTGTCTACAAGGTTTCATTCACAATGGAACCGACGCGTTTCTTTGAGTCACGTTCTTTCTCCATTTTCAAAGAGCTTCATTCGACTCATGCACATTTGTTTGATAAAGCTAATTGAAACATTCAAGGTCAGAGTAAAGCTTTCAAAACATTTGTGGCAGTTGCTTTCTCTTAGTCTGTCTCACAGTCGATGAACCAAATAATGTCCCCTACTGCCTAGCCCTCTCTACAATGCTGAAGCCATAAATGTAGCATGTCTAGATTTCACCAGATTTCCTGAATCTACTGGGGCTCCTTTTCAAGTTAAGTAGGCTTATATGTTACTATGAAAATTATATATATTCAGGGGCTAATCTTTAGTCTAGCTTGTTCTTTGAAAAAGATATGAATTCGGACAAATTCTTAACTTTTAACAAAGGTTATATAGAATCGGTTTCCAATATTATATATATTTTAAAATCTACTATTATAAATAGAGTTCTAGTTTGTACATTACGGCAATGCCTCTCCATTCTCCTACTATTGGTATATTACTATATTAAATGAGTTTTAAAATAACATTTTTAAAATGCATCACCTTATTCGGGAATTTGTCTGTGTTTTGTATTTACGATGCATATGTTTTGTTGAATATCGCCAGAGGTTTTTCATGAAAAAAATATATCGTAACATATTCCAACATGTGTTATGATAACATTATAGCCGCATGCCTTCACATATGGGTATTTAGTGGCATATGATCTACCTATATACGACCAAATCTCCCATTGATTATAGCCGCATGCCTTCACATATGGGTATTTAGTGGCATATGATCTACCTATATACGACCAAATCTCCCATTGATTATAGCCGCATGCCTTCACATATGGGTATCTAGTGGCATATGATCTACCTATATACGACGATATTTCCCATTGCACAACTTACCGCATCACATATGTTGCACATATTTGTATAGTCGAAGGGGAAATATCAACTTTTACTTACCAATATTTTCATCCTTCGCTTCAATAACAGTTGGATGATCGATCACAGCTGCCATGGCAACTGTTGTTGATTCTATGGCAACCAAGAGATTGGAAGCAGATCTTGCCTTGTCCTCTGGTGCCATTTCTTCCCACGTGGACGACTTGTTCTCGGAGACGACGTTGCTGCCGGCTTTAACAACGTTCTGTAAATATACAAAATGGTTGACTTGTTACCATTAAGTAAAGCAGAAATGGTTCGATTTGCGGAATCGACCTGAGCTGGAACACAAACAAGAACAAAATGTGTATTCGGTATCAGAGGCCACATGGTTAAGGGCACAGTTAATAAGATGAAGCTTGTACGCAAGGACATGTCGGACAAATGTTATGTTATCTTAATGCAGTAATAATGATATATTAACGACCAGGTTTCTTCTCCAATCTTTCACAACTGTTTAAGTTAGCTTCACATCTTGATATCATAGTTTGATTATGATTATTATGGTGCGCGCATTTAACGTGAGAATAATGTAACATGAAGCCAAAATGACCGTCAAAGAATATAACAGGAATGTGCCAGCGTACCTTGACGATACTTTTCACAGCTTTCTCATCTTTGGGTTTGCTATCCTGGCTCTGGGTGGCGAGACTCTGAATGACCTTGGAGGTCAACATGACATCTTCCACCGACATTTCCTCCGTCTTGGTGACCTCCACAAGGGCTGTGGTCATCTTGACCTGTTCCTCCTCGTTGGCCTCCTCCACAGACGCCTCCAGCACCTACATCACACAGAAATGTTGGAAATCTAATACAATAATACCATTACAGTCGACTAACCAGGGATATGTTTTGTTTCTTGTTTAACGTCTCATGGAGACTCGAGTGTGGGCCAGTGGTTGTACAATGTCCCACATCGTTAGGATTCCATTACAAGTCATCAACAAAGTCACCAAGCCTGATAGGTCAGCTTCTTTGATTGTCATTCTAGAAGTTGAGGAGATGTATAATGAGGACAATTTTTATGGATATACAACTTCATTATTGCTTGCTTGACAACGACATTAGAATTTCTGTCGATACGTCGCCTGTACAGAATAAAGAAGACTTAGTTTATATCCATCAAAATTGTCCTCATTCTCCTGATAAGTCAGATCTCGTAAAACACAACCAAATGTTTATGAAATATTGCCAAAGAAAACGAAAAAGACGAAAAGGCAAAAGATGATGCCGATTATCGATTCTGTCCAACGTTAAGGACATCGTCTCAAGGCATGACTGATTAGTTGAATAGAATATAGTGTTCCTTCTGCCACATATTCAATTAAAATGTTTAAAGGATTAGGTGCATTCAAGGCGGCACACCCTGTTGCTACATATCCGCTTCAATAACGGAGAGTCTGATCAGAGTACTCTGTAATTAGTACTAGACTAAGTACAGTTACATGAAGGTTACATGGTTACGTGGCGACAGCGGACACTCCATACTGCTACATGACACACGTCAGCCAGGATGTAGACTCAAGCGAACTTGAGATGCTTTCTTCCCTGTTTCCTGACGCACCATCTTCTGTACCATATAATACTGATGGGCTTGTTCCGGGTGTGTGTGTTGGGGGAGGGGGGAGTCAGGCGGACAATGGGGAGGGGAACCGGAACGGAAGGGTAGAGGGCAAGGACAAGGGTACTGCGATGAATAAATATGATAAGGAGCAAGGTCATTCGGCATGACCTTCCTGTGTCCCATAGATTGAAATATCATGTAACCGAAGTTCCCTGGTTCATTGAAATGTACTGAACAAAACAATTAAGGGAACATAAATATTTTTACATTTATTTTCTAGATAAGATTGAGCCCAATTTCACACACACACCCTCCAAAAAATCCAAAATCAAACAAAGAAAAAACAACAATAAAAATACAATAAAAACAAACAAAACAAAACAAACAAACAACAACAAAAAACACAAACAAACAAAACAAAACAAAACAATCATTGTCCCCTAGTTTTATGTTCAGTATATTATGCTCGAAAGAAGTTTAAGAACACATAATTTTTCACCTGACCATACTTAATCATTCATATCATGAAAAGTCGAATGAAAACTTCGTGTTCTTTGAGTTCAATGAGTTCTTTGAGTATTTGGAGCTCTGTAGTTCTAGAGGCGGAGTAGCAATTGTAATATTGTTAAGGTTTTGAAGGAAATATAATGTCTCATCGTCTCAAATGATGCATCGAGGAAATGAGTTGTGCCGATCATGTAACAATACGATAAATACCATCAGTATTGGATAGTCAGGCATAGTCTTTGTCAAGTGCAGATTAATTATGATACCTTTTTGAGGATCTTTTTGAACTTGGGAGAGGCACATCCGGCCAGATTTGGTTCTCCTCGCCAACAGGTCGGGTTGCTGCCACATCGCCATGTTGCAGTTCCTGATGAGAGATCAAATGGTATGTACATATCTTGTTACGTATTCTATCATACTTACTGTCGGGCAAAATAAGTATACCTTTCAAAATTAAATTTGACAAAGAGGGCGACTGTTGACAGCGTGACGAGCAAACGCATTAACCACTAGGTACCGCACTTACTACACCTAGTGTAGTTCTTGTTTCCTTTGAACACTTTGCCTACAGGGGACAGTGAGTATGAAATTCAATATCTTTAACTTTAAAATATGCAAATCTGATTAAGGTGAGCTAAATTTAAGAGAGACTGAATTAAATCTACGACAAATCTGACCCGTATTACAGAATAATCGTTCGATTATCAAATAACTTTTATACTTTAATGTAGTGTTACCCATCACTGACTTTCAGGTATTAGGTCATACGATTGTCAGTGCTATTTTGCCTTCAGCACCTAACTGAATTTGTTTCGGTGGTAAATCGAGACTGGTTGTTCTCTTGTGTTAAAGTTAGATATTACGTCAATCTCTCTGTGAACACTGCTCTTCTTTCCATGAAACGGTCTTATCACTTCGACCGTTGTAATTCGATGTTCAAGTATGAAAGATGTGTGGATCAGGGCCCGCTTATTTGTGGTCGTATCATTGGATAACAAGTGCGTTTTTTCATGTTCATATGTTCATATTTCCCCACTACGTAAATAGACGAGGAACACACACGGTGTGTGTGTGCATCTTTTTATGAAAACAACTGTCGCTCATCCATGCTACATAGCTTCACAGGCTTGACAAAAACAGATACTTCGCCGATCTTCGGTGTAAACAGACACAAAATGTTTTTATCTCAATTTCAGAGCCCAGAAATAGGCAACGTTTTTCTGGAATAGCCTCTGTGAAGCTTTGAAAAATGATCTTCCGTGTAGAATATACAGCGAAACATTTAATGCGAGCTAAGACGACCTCTCACACGTTATATTTCAATATTTTGAGTTGGATAAAATACGAAAATTAATTTCATGAAGAATGTCCATAAATGCTTAATATCAATGTACTTATGTAGTTTTGCTACATACCATCTCTATATCGAAGACAGTATGATACATCTCGTAGGGGACCACACATTCTTTCAAAACTAAAACCTTAAAAATGGGGCTCATGTGATCACAATGGATGCTAGATATGAATATTAGTTTGAGAAGTGACATAGTAAAAATATCTGGACCAGTGAAGATCCGGGTTAGAGTTAATCTTCAGTAACCCATGCTTGTCGTAAGACTAACGGGATCGTGTGGTCAGGCTCACTGACTTGGTTGACACATGTCATCGTGTCCCAGTTTCGTAGATCGATGCTCATGATGCTGATCACTGGATTGTCTGGTCCAGACTCGATTATTTACAGACCGCCGCCATTTAGCTGGAATATTGCTGAGAGCGGCGTAAAACTAAACTCAATCAATCAGTCAAGTAATCAGTCAGTATATCTACTTGTGATATTGATAATAGGTTGTGCTGAGTAATCTTTTGCTCTCTCCCATTGGTTTACAGACATTTGAGTATTAAGCAGGGTTTGGAACGAACGCTTGCTGACTGTCTTCAACAACACTTTAGCCAGTAGATCTCTGGTTTAAAGGGGACACGAGTTGCCTAGTAATCCATGGCGCCATAGAGATTTAAACCCAAGACTCGGAACTTCTAACTGTTCTACATTAATCAGACTTAACTAAATACTGTTCAAATAACTCATAACTTTAATAGAATATTGAAAATACATAAGCCAAAGCTGGTATCTACATTACCAGCCGCCATGTTTGACAGCTTGTCTATCTCCTAGCGGGATCTCGCGAGAGATTACAACTCTCATTTTTCCAATGTTTTATTATTCTTAAAAACAAAACAAACTCGATCCTTTCCAAATATGAAGAAGATGCCCTGTGATTACAACAAAGCTTGGCGAACGTCGGACATTAAGATACAATCTCCAGATGTCAAAAACAATTTTCTAGCTGTCAAAATATACCAAAAAAGTTAAACCGAAATATTCAGACTTTTTAGCGTCGTTTAGGGTTATTTTTTCCTGTATTCGGAACCAGAAAGTTTGCAGTCAAAACGCCTTATTTCTCCCCATGTTTCTTTAGAATGCCAAATAAATTCTGATAATAGGTTTGGAAAAATATAGATACGGGTGTGTATGTGATAAAAACACACATTGCACAGAGAGACACCGACCTCACCACAGAAGAATTATTTTTACAATTCAAATAAAATATGTTTAAGACGGGTCTCCGGGGTAAAAACCGAGACAACTAAAAACACTTTATTTCTGTATAAAAGAAACGCATTTGTCCCAAGTGACTGTACTATCTGATATGTTAGTTTCACAGTTGACATGACTTGAACTCAGGCGACGGGGATGGGGGATAAGAGAGGTCATTCCCCGAGGAGGAAATATGACGTTTAAAACAGCTGTGGAACTGAGGAACTCACGTACTTCGTTTTTTAATATTTTTGTTCTGTGTGCTTGCAATTCCTGTCATATGTGCGCGACGGGGAAACAGGAGATCGGAAATGGCGTTTGTCAAAGGTTAATGACGTACATTATTGAAAATATTCACGACGCGCACGCATCTGTGCCCTGTTGCCATATTATTGACAAGGAAAAGTTGATACTCAGTGTTCAGTTATTCCTTATTCTCGCATGTTATAACTGAATGGTGAACATGAAACCAAATAATACTTGTGAATGACAATCTATATATTACACTTTTGAAGTCACTAAATATATCTTAATGATAATCATCATTTAGATATCAATAAAACACAAAAATCCGACAATGTGTGTCTACTTAAAGCTTAAGGCTCAACTCAGCAATATTCAACCCCTAAAACTGTCACAGAAAATGCCTGAAAAAAATTGTGCTTTATTTTGGTCGGCCACATAAAATACATTGTTGCAAGGAATAGAATTAAATGCCGAGACTCTATAAGTTTTAACGACAAAAAAATGTCTTGATTTTGAAGTTGAAGCTAGAAAAAAATACTTGCTCACAATATAAATCGCCCCTCCCCTGAAAAGAAAAGAAAATGCATAATAAATTTCTTTCTTCATCCCACACCCCGAATATCGAAAGTTAGTCCTTTCTACTTACCAGAGCCACTTCTACATTTTATTTCAGCGAATGTTCCAGCGACCGTTGCAGGCCAGTTCATGTTGGAGGCATAGGCTTCTGGACAAGTCGTTGCACCCCTCTTATACTGCTGCATCAAGGCTGCGCTGGCCATGCCGTCACTGTTGACGGGCTTGTTATTCTCAGTCAGCTCAAAACATCCATGAAAGGGAGACAACTTTTCCTCCCAGGTGGTGCTGGTGAGCACGCTTAACGTCGTCCTCCAGTTTGGTACTGGCGTTGTTGGAGGAACACGAGAAGTCTTTGGTGACGTTGATGTGGTCACTGTTGGTGAGGTAACAGGCTTTGTCGTTGTTGATGAAGACGTTTCAGGTTTAGATGATGTTTCCTGTTCGGATGATGTTTTAGATGATGTTACTTGTTCGGATGATGTTTTAGATGATGTTTCCTGTTCGGATGATGTTTTAGATGATGTTTCCTGTTCGGATGATGTTTTAGATGATGTTTCCTGTTCGGATGATGTTTTAGATGATGTTTCCTGTTCGGGTGATGTTTTAGATGATGTTTCAACAACTGATTGTGTTTCCACTCGTGACGTTGAAACTGCTCCTGGTGTTGTTTGCGTTTGTGTTTGCGTTTTTGGCTGATCCTGTGTTGTAGGTTTTTGTGCCTCGGTGCTTGGAACTTCGGTCGGTTTTGTCGTAACTACCTGTTGTGTGGTGGTTGTAGTTGTTGTTGTTGTTGTAGTGGAGGCTGTAGTTGCAGACGTTGTAGCTATCGTTGTGCTTGTCGACGTGACGGCTTCTACGGTGGTTTGGAATGTAGGTCGTTGGGTTACTGAAACATGAACAATTATGTGCATACCTTAGTTTAACTTTTTATAAAAAATGTTTAAAATACTTAATTCAGATATAAATACACACAGTGAAGTTCAGAACTAAAATAGATGAACTGCATTAAAGAAACGGTATTATCAGTTCCTCTGTATGTCAAGCACGTGACGTCATCCTCCTGAGACGACACAGGTGAATAACATATTTATAAAAAATAAAGGTAAACATCGTTATTCAGGGCAATGAGACAATTACTCTTGGGAACGTATATAGTTATATACCAGTATACAATTAAAGGACAGAAATATATACAATTATATGACAATTACTCTTGGGAACGTATATACTATTTACTCTCCGGAAATATATACAATTATGTGACAATTACTCTTGGGAACGTATATTCAGTTAATGGACATTTACTCTTGGGAACTCACCTACAATTAATGGACAACTAACATTCAGAGCGTACATACAACTAACGGCCAAATACAGATGAGGCGGGAGATACAATTTATGGAAAATTACTTTTCGGAACAAATATACAAATAAAACAGAAACACTCATGGGAACGTATAAACATTGAAGAACACTTTCTCTTGGTATGTATATACAATTACAGAACTATTACTCATTTTAACGTGAATACAGTTAATAGAAAGACCAGTTTATATTCGACTGTTAACAGGTAAAGCATAAAACTACATACTCTCATGACGTTCGCAGATAAACGGCCTGAGGGTTTCATAAGCTCTATCGTTGAGAAATCCATTAAACCGTATTTCCACACAGTGCTCGACGGATCTTCCCCGGCCATTGTTGGGTTCCCCAGGTCCCCATTGGCTGAAATAAATAATAATATCAATGAGGTGGGTATCATGTATATATTATCATATGCCCAATAACCAAGTTGTAAAAGGAAGTACAATAAACTAAATAGATAATACGCCGATCATGGCATATTACATACCGCCAATACTTTGTTTTTGCTTTAAAACAAAAGTGTGCAAACCATAAAACCAGGAATGATATGAAACAATATGATTGTAACGATATTATGCTTATTAAACAATTTAGAACCTAGAAACAGAACAAGTGGTGTATCACAGACATGTTTCTGTTTCGGTTAATATTCAGTCTCGCTACTACTGCTACTACTACTACTACTACTACTACTACTACTACTACTACTACTACTACTACTACTACTATTACTACTAATTCTACTATTACTACTAGATATCATTTTCAAGGGCACCATTATTGCCCCAATAAACAAGTGTCCATTCATTATTTCTTTCCCAACCCTCTGAGGAGAAAACAAAGCTAGCTGCCTCTCGCACCCTACCGGGTACCCATTCACTGTTAGGTGAACATACGTCTGTTTGGAAATGAAGTCACTTGCTCTAGGAGACCCACTGACACAGTATTCAAAACGGCCTAACACCGCTCATTTGTGGAACATTTGACTGAGAAACATGCATGTTTTGCTATAAACAGAAGTCGACGAGGCAGGCTAATCGGGATAAAAGAGAATAACGGTTCTCTTCCACTCACGTGATCCTCCTGCTAAAGGTACCCCCGTCCTGCCAGATGAACTTGTTGAGGTCGGTGTGCCATTTGAGGCCAACCCACCACGTCAACATGTCGTCTTTCGTTATCTGCTTCTTCAGTTCACGAACAACCTTTTTCTGAAATTACAATAAGTTGTTGGTATTTGAAGAATTTACAATATTTACTTGTTACATTCTAGTAAATTTTGAAAATAGTAACTAACCCTTCATAGTGTGTCGTAGAGATATTGCGTCTAGTGTTTCCGTATCGTAAATGTCATGCTTTTTTGTAATGAGAATGGAAAATGGACCGACTTTAGAACTTTGAATACAAAGCTTGTCAACAACCCAATTTATCATATTGTGCCTTGTGATTTACGAATACTGTATGGTGCTAACAAAACTAGTAACGTAATCGGTGCGAACAATGCTTCCATCAAACGGTATTAGGTTTCTGGTGAACCCAAGGGACGAAACTCTGTATAGCGAATTGCGGTGCCTTAGACGACCTCATTCGTAACTACTCGTGTCATTGCGACAAGCCGGATGGCGACTCGTACCCCTCACGTGGACATGTTCACGACTGGGCCTTGTCGAAGCGCAAACGGGCACAGAGAAGAAAATAGTCTAGGGCTCTTTCCAAGGAAAGGTAGCTCTAAATTTCCAAACATGGCTACTCCAAGAAAACAACAAGAACAAATTGGTTTAACACTAAAGTCACTTTAGGTAAGTGTCTTATGTCGTTAACAAATGTCAGTAACAAGATAATTATATAATCACAGAAATAAGAATAAATATCAATAATCGCAAAGAAACTATTTGGCCTCATTTCTCATTTCACTACGCGCGGTTTGATTGGTTTGCCACGATTCTTGGCAATAATGGCGTACTATACAGATACGAGTCTTCTTGTAGATCATTGAAAGAGGCGAGTAGTTATGAATAAGACGACCTATCAACTTTTGATGAGTTACGGGGCGGTGGGGTAGCCTAATGGTTAAAGCGTTGGCTCGTCACGCCGAAGACCCGGGTTCGAATCCCCACATGGGTACACTGTGTGAAGCCCATTTCTGGTGTCCCCCGCCGTGATGTTGCTGGAATATTGCTAAAAGCGGCGTAAAACCAAATTCAGTCAGACAGTCAGTTGATGAGTTACAGCAGGAATGCTGCTGCGTTTATGACACTTCGAGAAAACCAAACACCTTCGAAATAGAACACTATAACTACAGAGGGTTGTATGTTTTAGGACATACAACTTAGGTCCGGAAGCTCACCTTCTCCGCTTTAGAGCTGATTGATATCAAGGTTCCCCCTTCTTGTCTGCAGGCGTTTCTGGCGTCCTCCCATGACATCTTCCTGGTGTCAAACTTGTAGCAGGCACGGTGCATGACAACCCAGCCGCTACCACATGACTGTTCCTCCTCTCGTCGACGACGACTGTGGGCTGAAAAATGTGATATTAACATATGACATCACTGATACGATTTTGTAAATATTTCATAAGAATGCCCTGCAGCTATATCGAAACAGCAAATGCCCTGCTGGATCAAAACATATATACATTCATGGCTGGCGGTGGCCAAAATTGAAACAAACAAGATTGTAAGATGATTATATTATTAGATGGCGATTCTTTTTATTGTGAAGACGTATCATTGTCAGTTGTGGTGACTGGTCGATTTAAACAAACTATTTTTGTCCATCTGTATCCAACAAACTATATATTTGTAAGCTGTTAATGTTTGTTAGTAAGAGGGAAAAATAGCGTTTGGTGTTTTACACAAAACATATTCCCTTTTCATCACCACTGTTAAACTAGTCGTTTTTGGCATATTTTAAAAAAATCTCCCGTACCGCCATCCCCTTTGCAATTAAATGGATGCCACCAACTTGAACCTGCTTTTGAAGTCTTTCTGTTGCATGTACATCGGATGTTAAGCATCTCAAACTCAACATATTACAAGAACAAAGTTATAAGTCAGCACTCAATAGAATGGGCGCATTGATACACCGTTTCCGACACGACTAACCTATTTCCACATCCGCTGGGTTACGAAAGAGCTCTTAAGATCTGCCAGACACTCAACTCGCACCTTCCAACCACGCTCTCACACACAGGATCTGCTACACGAGGGTCACTCTATCTTAACTATATATCGGAAAGGCAGGAGTGCGTTACATAAGATCCAGCTTCCAGATGATAAAAACGACAAGGTTGGGTATTGGTATCGTTTTCGTGACCCCCTCTGCTTCATTTATGGTAACCGTTTAACAAAACAGGTTTATTTTCTTGAAACATTGATAGACCTGTAAAGGGTTTACACCGAGATATACAAATCATGCGTCACACCCATATTTCTTCTCAGAACGTGAAATTATATATAGTAACATATTTTTCGAATTGGAATCGTGAATGTTGATAAACATTAGAAAAATGTTTGCTGATACTGAATTCAGATCAATTCCTCACTCACTCGCCTCCATTTATATATACAAACAAAGATACAATAATGATAGAAAAACGAAGATTGAAAGAAAAAGAAAAAGAAATAACATGCACACTGACTGTTCAATTAATTGGCAATATGTCAATTGTCTCATGGTAGTTTTTAAATAAGAGTATTGGGGAACATGTAGCCGAGTGGTTTAAGCGTTCTCTCGTTCTGACAAAGACGTGAGTTCGATTCCCTAAATGGCTTTTTTTGTTGGTGGCGATATTTGGATTAACTGATTAAAATACGATGAATGTTGACAAGATGTTCATATTGTTTTTGTTGTTGTTGCCATTACTATGGTCTTGTAGACAGAGTGTCTGCCTGGGAATCTGGGAGGTTCGAACCCTTACGATCATAGGGGGCGGTTGGGTAGCCTAGTGGTTAAGGCGTTCGCTCGTCACGCAGAAGACCTGGGTTGCATTCCTCACATGGGTACATTGTGTGAAGCCCATTTCTGGTGTCCCTCGCCGTGGTATTGCTGGAATATTGCTTAAAGCTGCGTAAAACCCAGCTCAATCACTCACTCGCTCACTTACGGTCATAGAAAAATACATTTAAAATGGTAGATGTTGTTACCCTGGCTACTGGTGTCAGCTATGGGGATTACACAAGGACAGGTCACCCGGAGCCTCGGTATACTCTATCTTAGATAGGTATTCATGTTGACCACATGACCACAAAAACATCATTATTCTATACCAATTCAAACAATCACCACAAAATACACGCATGCATGTTGCCATAAGAATCCAATAACCTTTAAACCACGACGTTAAAGCACGTTTCAATACTGCCCAACAACATATGTTGACCTGGTATTTGTCCTGGCCCAAAAATGATCAGAAACAAGTTAGATAACCCTGTAACAATAGCCACGCATTCTGAAATTTTTGAGCCATGACGTTTACAAAATTGCCAATATGCAAGATTGATATAGGATCAAAAACGCGGTCCCTGTACGTTTATTATGTTCATATACTCATATTTATATTTTGCCTTCACAGCTGATGTATCACGTTGGGTTTCATGCATGTATTAAATCAGGCTGATAAAAACCAGGCTGTTAGATAGCCATGCTCAAAGATTATACTGATTGATAAGTTCATGGACATAAAGTAACTCCATATAAAGGTTAAGTCTTGATAAGCGGACAGGAGAGATCTAAGGGCATCAATTTTTCATCGGAAAACTTTGTTCTTATTTTAATATAATCAAAAAATTAGAATTTAAACTAATATTTGTTTGCCTTACATACTTGTGCAAGTCCAGCTGTATTAGTTAAGTCTGCACATCCTACTGAGATTGTTTCGCGCTTGTACCTGGTACAAACATGTGAAGCCCATGTTTGGTGTGTCTCTCCCCATCCACGGCCCATCCCCTTGTGTGTTACTGCAGGAATATTGCTTAATATTTCTACTCTCTTTTGAATTAAAGAAAAATATTTTTTGAAAAACATGTTTCTTCTTTTGACAGTCTAAGTAGTGAATGATCATGTTTCGTCATGGAAGTACCGTGTACAGAGACCCTAAATGTCAACTCGAAGAGTTCCCATGTCTCGTGGACAGTTATAGCAACCCATAAACAAGCCTCAGCTAATGCATATCTCGTAGTTTTTTTCCCGCAGAGTATTACACCATATTCACGGTGGAAGAGTGAGATGTGTTTCACGTTTCAAATACATCTGAGCACACTACCGCGTGAAAACAAATACTGTGAAAAATGCACGCTGTCTTTTTATTTGTCTGCCAAATGCATAGACTCGAGGAACATGTCATGGAACCCTCCTTCGCGTGGAACATCTGTTGCGAAACGCTGGGAAACGTAGGCCTTGGCATAGAAACTCTGGTGCATCTCCAGTATCAGTTGCCTGCTCGGCACCATTTCATTGACGTTGTAACGTTATGTAAGTGGCTCAAGGTTAAATATAAGGGGATAAACGTTCTCCGGTATTGGTCATTTCCAACAGAGGGGCTGATGTGGGCTTATAAACAACTGAGTGATTAAATGATTGATGTAATGTGTGTCTGTCTGTGTGTGTGTGAGAGAGAGAGAGAGAGAGAGAGGGGGGGTGAATCTGTGTTGTTGCTTCTTCAAATATATAATGAAATTATAGCCTTTGAACAGTATTCAGGAACTGGTCACTTGTAATATGGTGTGGTGAGAGGGATGTCATAAAAAATGTTACATTAAAGCCAGAGCATGAACATGGAGGATTGGGGTTTGGGTGGGGGGAGGGAGGTCAACGTAATGTGGAAGGGGGGAACCCAGGTCGAAGAACATATTTGGTGCAGCCAGCGGTCATGGGTTTGTCTGGCAACGTAGTAGTCACGTATACCATATGTCATCATAACTGAAACTAGAATGTGTCTTGGCTATAACCACATTGATAGAGAGTGACAGAGCGATCACTCTTTGTCGTAGCGTCATAGCTAACACATTCTCGCAGTTAAAAGAATTGTTTGAGCTCCCTGATACGGGATCTGAATAACTGGAAATACATCTGAGTTATTTGCACATCTGGACTGGCAGCTCAACGTTACCCAGTGGCACATTCCTCGAGGAAATGTAGTTATACAAAATGATAACCGACCATAGCCTTGTATCACATTTGATAAACATGTCAGCAACGTGTCCTTGACCTTACGTAATTAGGTTGCCTTGACCCTACCCACTGACCTGCATAGCCTATCGAGCATTGCGCTCCACTATCTAATCCTGTAAGTGGAAGAGATATACACACAGAAGATACAGTCTTGTCTCAGACGTCTACACACTAATGCGCATGTAGTGACGGATGCCGAGCAGTTGGCATTTGCAGACTGCCCAAGCACCAAGCTGTAAAGCTTCATTTGAAACCCTCTAAGATGATGGGTGTGTGGTTGACGTTTGACAATACTGCCACATTTCATAGGTATAATTACGTTGGCTGAACAAAGGGTCGATGATGTCTACCATTATTGTTAAACCTACGAATATGGAGTGAATAAAGTGAGTTTAGTTTCACGCCGGTTTTAGCAATATTCCAGCAATATCACGGATGTAGACACCAGAAAAGTGCTTCACACATTGTACCCATGTGGGGAATCGAACCCGGGACTTCGGCGTGACGCGCGAACGCTTTAACCACTAGGCTACCAAGTCAAAACATTCATTACACAAGAGTCTCTTTTCCTGCTTACTTGGTTCCGTCCTGTTGCGCACCTTAGTACAATAGCCAGTCCAGAATTTTGAGACCATTTCATCTAGCTGGATACATAAATATTTATCAGTATTATTTGATACATCTAAGCACTTGTATATTGCAATACTACGCCCCGTCTTCTCCTTGCAAACACGTCGTGCAACGTGCTCTGTCGTAAAGCGGGCTCTGACAAACGGAAATCTGGAAATCGTGGAAATCTCAAAACGAGGCTCTGCTGCTATAAAACGTTTGGCGGTCTGGTACGGACTTGGTATTATATCAATCACATTGTGCGTTACAATACTACACCAACGAAAAAGCCCAAAAACACAGGGCCCGTGTAACCGGCCCGACAAATGAATTGTGAATCATTTTACGTCCTCATCAAACAGGGGCAGTCTGTGACGTCTTAGTTAAGGTCACGCTGCCTCAACCTCGCCATATAATATAGAAATACGAAGTTATTAAAGTTTCAAATAAAAATTAACTTGTGAATGCTATTTTCTTATGAAACAAGGAATTGGAATTCACTGTATCCAAAGTTGTTTGTGGTGTCTCTTTTCACTTTCACACGAGGAAGTTCGGATCGGCTGAAAAGTAGGTCATTGTCTGAATAGGTTAATAAGACTCATGTTTCGGTTTGCCACCGCCCCTAAGAATATGGACTTTGTACTGAAAGACCAGGAATCATAATCAACGCGAGTTTAGAATTTAAGCCAACGACGTACGGATCCTGGCAGCTAAGGGGCATAACTCTTAATCGTTAAA